CGTGCCGCATCGCTTGTGAATCCTGTCACGTTTCTGGGTTTTACTTCAAATACCATTTTGGCCAATTGCTTCTTCCGTCCGCACGTCCTCTACGATGGGAATTGTGCGGTTGCTCCGGGAACTAGTAGTGTTCCCTTTGTCACCCACACTGTGGCTAGCTTAGTTTTTTCCCCTCACAAAACCCACACATATACAAAAAAAAGGGAAAAGAAGTACAGAAGGCGGCAGGGCATTCGCCGACATAATGGACTGTATAAAGTCGCTTGATCAACTCGATTAGGTACCATTAGTTGCATAGTTGGAAAGCTATTAAGACAGCCAGGTGTGAGCACAAAGTCTAAGGTAAATAAAAGCGGAAGACCAAGTAAGGGATATGCACTAGTTCAGCATCCTTCGTCTGCTGATCGCTTTACATGCATGTCCATGTCCAGCTGCCGTGCGTTTAATTGTAGACGCCGACAGTCAAGGACACGCTCCGTCTCAGCTTCCACATTCACGTCCACTGAATGCCAATTGCCAGGCTGAATTAGCGTTCGTAAATCACTGGGCCGGGAGTTCCAGGGGGGCAGAAGGGAGAAGAAACAAGGAATCGCTGTTGATTAGAAATCACATTCGCAGTCGCTGTTGCTGTCGCCGTTTGGTCAATCGAATCGGATTCGATTGTGTGAACAGTTGATTGCCAACAGATGTTGATTTCCAACGGATACCCAGCTTCATGAGGAGCCACTCGCTTTGCGTTGAGGCACAGGCACAGAAAGAGGAAAGGACTAAGGCAAGGACTTGGAGCTGAGGCAGCGTCAGGGAACTGACAGCTTAAGTGCGCCATACCTGCCAGTGCCGAAAAGAAGAAATCTCGGGCTAAAGCAACTTTATAATTTGCACAACAACCCACAAGCATACACACCCAGACAGATACACAACCCACACAAGAGATACCCAGCTACAGACACGGATACAAAGTGCGAGGCAACCGAAGGAAGCTGGCAAACTTTGGCAAAATATGAGATTTGCATAACTAAGCAGGCAGACCGAAGGATGTAGGACGCAAAAGGGTTTGCCCCGACCAAGGGATGCTGAGTCGGCAACGGCAACGGAAGTCGACTGCCGCCATTCACGACTTGATACAAATTTTTATCAGTGATTCATGGGATCCAGCTCGAATATTTACTGCCTGTCGCAGAATGGAATGGACGAAATGGAGTCACATCACCTTTACGCCCTCGAAGCCGTTCGTTTTGGACAAGTAAAGATGTATCTTTAAGATTCACTCGTAAGCAATGGAGTTTGTAAATAAGCTGGCAGGTTACAGGTATAGGTTTGGAGATAGTTTAAAGGTTGATTTACCCTTTGAGTAAGCTCATATTTCGTTCACCCCGAGTACTCTCAGCAAGTTTAATATAGAGTTATTTAGTACTTAGAACCTAAATCTATTATTGCCATTTATTAACTATTGCAGACTTGCTTTGCAGCTCTTAATTTATTGCTTTCAGGATTGTCTTCAATTCTTGGGAATACCAACAGGTGTCAAGAATGTTTGATACTTGTTGGGAAACTTAATTCCTAAGTTATCTTTTTCTAGATTTTCTAGAACCTCCCTCATTAACATCATATTAATCCATGAAACCTTAAAGATATTTTTCCCATAGATTTAATGCCATTATGCTAGCATTTTCCGATGAAAAGCGCATAGTGAGAGTGCGATGTATTCATCAAAATATGCAAATCAGCTAATAAGTAATAATTTCCATTAACAATTTGGCAGGGAAAACAGAGAGAGGGGAGTAGAGGGAACTCATCTGGCAGCCAGCTCACGTGCCGTGTGTCCCAAAAAACCTGAATGGGATGCCCCTCATTGTCAATGCAGAATACATTGAAGGAGAAAAGGAAGTCCCAATCCCAATCCCAATCCCAATCCCAATCGCAATCCCTTTCCCAAACCCAATCCTAATCCCAGCTCAGGCGAATCGAAGCGAAGCCAGTTAATGATATTGTTAATGCCCGTTAGGGGGAAAAGATATATATCCTGGCCACACACCATGTCTGTCGAGGAGATGTTAATTATCCTGTCAAATCTCTTTCTCCGCCCCTTTTGGACACAAAGCTGTCATCGCTCGCTGACCTATCCGGCTTGTTTGTTTGTGTTTTGAAAAATTGATGTGCATAAAGCCAACAATGGCGTGCCAACCCGATCTCCATCCAAGGAGCACCACCTGCCAGAGAAGCTCCTGCGGCTGTTGGCACTCCAATTAGGCATTTAATTATCACAAAAACAAACAGAGCGCGCCGCAAAAGTGTCAATTGCAGTGCTGAATGCTGGCTATCGAGGGGGGAGCGATGAGCGCTGATTGAGTGCGAGGCGATGACGAGTTTCCGAGGTTCCGAGGTCCCTAGGCCCCCAAGGCAGTCCGGAAATGAAAGTCAGGACCTGCCGAGTTGGAGGTGGAGCCAAGGAACAGTCAACCGGAAGGGCAGGCAGTGCAGGCAAGTTTACCAGAGTGAGTCGAAACTTTCCAGAAGTTGCACTTCTGAGGGTGTTTTTCCACCCTCCGCTAATTGACCCAACAACAACAGACACAACTGTCGCAAACAAATAGAAAATAATGAAAGCTAAAGAAATTAATTGATGCCGGATGGCAACTGATTAAAAAGCGACCAACAATGATACTGTTTCCCTTGCAAACTGCAATTTCCGTTGGTTTATAATTGCAAATAATAAGAAAGTGCAGTTAATCGAGATGAAAAGTGAAAGTAAAGCAAGTTGAGGCAACTTATGCTTATGATTACAAATTACGAATTCATATAAAGTGGCTTAGGAAGTATATATTTTTAAACTAAGTTAAAAGGAAAATGAAGTACAAGTCTACGATTTAAGGGTAATTATGACGAAAAATTAAAAAGGGGAAAAAAGGTGTTTAAGGAATATTAAAACCATTTCTCAACGTATTTTTAAGCTGCTTATAATGAGTTTTAAAAGCCTTGAGCAGACGCCAGAAACTATCCAACAGAATATATTTTTAAACATTTTTTTTTTGAGCCTAAACTGGACTGTTAGATTGAGAGGAAAGCTCCCAATAAATCTTTGTTAAGCTGGCCATAAATAACGTGGCGATAAGGGCAGATCTCATTACAGATGGAGGCAACTGCATATAATCGGGCATTAATAAGGGCCATACAGCAGATAAGATCCGGTCATATCAAGTCCCGCACTATATATGTAGGTGCTTAAAGTGCGAGTATGTGCAGCACTCAATGTGATAACAGAGATGGAAAAGTGGGGAAATTTGGGAAAATGTGTGGCAAATAGGGCTACAGGGGAAAGAACCCGCTAATTGGGACATAATTAGCTACAAAGTGAAAAGCGTCGCTGCCAAAGGTAACCGACTTATCCCAGCTATATCTTACATCTTGTAGCCACAGTCTCTCTCCCTTTCTCTCTATCTGTGTGTGTGTGTGTGTGTGTGCGGGTATTTCCGGGGAAAACTCAAGTCGAGTCGAGTGCCTAAGCCGGGAAAAGTCGCTGCCACAAAAGCCGCCGCTTGAATTTTCGACGATTCCGATGCCAATGTCGATGGCGATGTCGATGCGGATGCCAATGCCTGGCTGCGTTAATTGTTGGGCGCATAATTAACTGGGCCTAAAGCTGGGGGCTTGGGGAGACTGCGAATTGGGACTGGGAGTGGCTGCCAAGGGGCCCAGGGTTAGTCAAATATTTGCCCGGCCCACAAGTATCTATATTTATAAAGCATCACTAATGGCAAGCACAACGTGTTAACAATGTGTGCGTACCAGGGAGACGCGAGTCCTGGCCCAGGTAGTGGGCTTAACAGGGTCGAGAAAAGAGGCTTATGGCCAAAAAAAATCAAGTTTTGACTTCCCGAAACATCGTTTTAACTGCAAATATATCTGATTTGTCCATATATAATTACAAGTTAATGGTAATTTGTTATATATATATACACTGGTATTTTGAATCTTATCTTATATATTTGAGCTTTGACAGCAGCATAGTTAATATATATCTGTTTATATGTCTTATATATAGATTTATGTATATTACTTGGGGAATATGGGTTATCATAAGTATTGCGACTGATGTATGTATGCATATTTGTATATTACGAATAATATATATTGGTTTTATCTTCTTATTAGTAAAAGATTACTGCTTAGGATCTTGACTTTGATTGTGATTATGATATTGTAGGGATATGGCGGTTATTTATATGTATCTACTGTGAATATTTAATTGTGTTAAGAGTATCAACAATTTATGTTTCCCTTTTGGGTTCTGTTTTGATGAGAGATGAAACTGTTTAAAGAACTTGGTAGCATTGAATATTTGATATTTGCGGAATCGGTTATATATAATGGTTAGCTATATAATATGGTTATAGTGTGAATCTAATATAATAATGCTAATATGTTGCATATCTCTTTGGTATCGGCACAAGCATTGCGGGTGTGGCGTAAATATATATATATAGATACATATATATATATATATTATACAAATAAATGGGGGAAAATTGGGTGCCGTAGGAGGGGGGGGGCGCAATGTTCCTGGGAATCTTAGAACATCTTAAAGATAACGAGGTACACCCCGCTCTGGCTAAAATAAAAAATATATTCGGATGGGTTAGTCCCACATACACATGCTAGCGATTATTATTATTTATATATATATATATATGTATATATATATTGTGATTGGCTTGCTGCCTCGAAACGGCCAGGTGGGGCACCTACCGTCCAGACTTGGCCCCTATCGCCGCCATCTTGGCCCGCTCTAGCCCCCGCCGGCGGCTCCTCCTCCTGCTCCCTTCCGACCAACACATGCCCAATTAGCTAATGACTATTGACAGGGTCGCCGTCAGGATATGAGCAGGTCGCTGGGTGGAGGATAGGAAGGAGCTGCCCAGCGAAGGATGAGGACGGACTGGAGGTCGCTGTGGCCGCCGCCTGGAAAAGGATGCCTCACACTCGGCATCCGTCTGACTCACCTGTCGCCGTGCGAATCCCTGTCCCGGTCGCGCTCCATCTCTGCGCCGCCGCCATTAGCCGAAGCATTAACGGCTCCGGGTCCCAAGCCCGGGCCCGTGCCCGATGCGGAGCCTGTTCCAGAGCCCGTGCCAGAGCCAGAGCCTGTTCCCGATCCAGAGACAGGTCCCGGTGCAGACTCTACAGCTGGGCCCTCTACGCCTGTGCCCATGCCACTGCCGGTGCTTTGGGTGTGGCTGGTGCTGACGCTGCCCCCGCCTTCCGGCTCCAGTTCCGGGTCGGCTTCTGGTTCAGCCTCCACCTGGACCTCAACCTTCACCTCCTCTCGCTCGTACTCGTGCTCCTTGAGAGTCTCCTTTGGCTCCTGCTGCCCTTGTTGCTCCTCCTGCTGCTGCTCCGGATCCTTGGGCTTGTCCGACATCCTTGCTCTTGCTGCTGCCGCTGTCGCTGTCGCTGTCGTTGTCTTCAGATGCCGCTGATGGACGGGTCCTGGACAGAGCAGAGGCCCAAGTGTTGTAATTGTTTTTTAATAAAGCCCCGCTGCAGCGGACACCCAAGCAGAAGGATACAAAAGACACCAGAAAGGAGACCAACAAAAAACAAAACAAAGCCAGGCGAAACAAAGGAAATTAATGTAAATTAATTGCCGTGGCCAAGGGAAAGCCGCTTACTCCTTCGTTCTCTCGACCTATTTTTCCTCCAGCCTGTGTTTTTATTAGTTTTTGTTTTTTTTTTTACTTTTGTTTTGGGTCTCGGACCAAATTAGCCGCAATATTAAAAAAGAAAAACAGACAAAAACCAGAAGCTCTTTCTTGCTCTGGAAAAACTCCGAGTCCTGCCGTGAAAATTCGCAATTATTTTGCATAATAAATGCCACAGAAATGTGCATTCCTTGAATATTAATAGATACTTTAAGGGTTAAGCTATCAATCCTGGCTATCTACATATTTGGGCTTGAGTTTTTGGCAACCTGCTTTGCTGAAGGACCTCAACGATTGCCCACAAACAAGCCAAGTTGCCCGGATAATGCCATTGGCAAACACTCTGGCAGAGGGCTAAAAGGGCAACGGACAAGTGGCTTAATGCGTCAACATCCCGTCGATTATAATCGGCGGATTAGCGACCAGACCAGGCTAGGACAGGAGCGTTCCGATGCGGGTGAGTGATTAAAAAATAATACGAATTTAATGGCATGGCTAGGCGCAAATCGCCAATCATTCACACGGGCTAAAAGCTGATTGCCTGAACCGGAGAAAGCGATTAGATTGGCGCCAAAAGCGGTTAGTCATGGTCACAAATGAACTGCCCTGTAATTGGCCCGGACTATCATCGGGTCTGGTCTGGCCTGGCCGCCGATAAGTAGGCAGCACTTAATGGTAGCAGGTGAGCACCCTGACCACAGACACACGGGCCGGGCCGGATGAGACACAGTTACGGTTACGGTTAACATAAATGAGAATTTTCACAGCATTTGCATATGAATGATTCACGGGGCCCATGCATAACAAAGAACCATTTACCAAGGAGTAGGACTTGGCTAACTGCGAGAACGGGTTGTGCTGTGTCCTGCCCGTGGAGGACAACATATAAATAAAGTATGAAGCGCGAAGACAGTGTTTTAGGAGCAAATACTACTCTAGTCGAGGCTCCTCCTCCGCTCATCAAATATGAAAGGGCAACGAAAATTAACCCAGGAAAAATGACAACAACAACAAAAGAGGACAAGAAAAAAAAACCCAAAGGAAACCGAATTTGAACCGAAAACCAAACTGAAAATGAAATGAAATTTTCTGCTTAGGTCTGCACAAAACTCAATTCGCCGAGGTCAGCACAATGGCAGAAATGGCTTTATAATAGCCAGACAGGGATCCACAGGATACCCGAGATCTGTACCTGTGCTTCAAGGATAAAGAAGGAAATAAACCCCAACCCAAAACCCTTTGTATTTAGGCCTGTGTAACCCTGCACCCCGGAAACAAACTTTTCATAACACGCACGCACTTTCAAAAAAACGAACAAAAAATTTGACACATAAGGGGGAAGGAGTGAGAGAATCAGAATTCAAACCTTTTTTTTCGCTTTTCTTGACACACTTGTCGATGCTTGCTCTCTCGTTAGTTTTTTGGTTTTTTGAATATTTTTCAACTAGATTTTGAATTTCTTGCTTGTTTAATTTGGAACTTTTTTGAATTCACTGCTCGGATTATGAGGCCAATTATGATGATGATTCTGATAGTGATACTGATTCCTATGCTGATAAAGATACTGATACAGATACAGATACTGGTACTGGTACTGCCACTACTACTGATACTGATTCTGATACTGATACTGATACTGATTCCACACTGGCAACACTGTGCGGTGCTGGGGTGACGGTAACGTTACCGACAATGACTGAACAGGAACTGACTTGCCGTGCCATCGGACGCCTTATTTTAAATCGTCCAGCGCACTGTTGCTTTCCTGTTAGAGGCACTGTTACGGAGTTAGTTGCTGTTATTTAAGCAGGCGACCTGTTAGCGCAACTCCGAAAGCTTTCTTCGGAGTCACAGTCATTCGGGGAAAGCGGAGAAAGGAGAAGTGCGAAAGGAGCGGGGGCAACAGAACTCCGAAAAACGTAGAACGCCAACAGAGGTCCTTGCTGCTGGTTTGGCATTCCCCTTTCCATTTCCAGCCACTTTCCCAATTGCAGGTAAAATCTAGAAGTTTGCCACTGCATTTGCCATTTTGCATTTAGCCAGCGGAAATTATTGTCAACTAAAGATATTGGCAACTTTTTCAGAAAATATATTCTCAAAAGAGTATTTATTTATAAACAAGAAAGGAAAATAATTGAATACCCTTGGTTCGGATGGGAAATCGATCTTAACTTAGTTTATATATTTTATTTTTAAAAAACTCATAACTAAGCCAAAAACTCCTCACCCATCCTTTTTTGAAAACATTAAAAATTTTTGAAAAGATTTAGAAAGATTCGCCTGTTGATGCTAATCAAAAACATATCATATATAGTTCATAGGGTCGGGAAGGACTCCTTCACTAAGTTGTATGCTTTTTACTGAAATTATAATACCATGAAAAAATCTACAGTTTTTTTGCTCCTCTAATTATAAGCATCGTTTGTATGGCAGCTATATGATATAGTAGTCCGATTTTCATAAAATTATTCACAAAATTCTAGAATAATATATTAGGGCTATATATCAAATTTGATGAAAATCTGTTAAAAACTGGAGAGGTTTTTTTTTCTTAACATTTTCCGATTGTTCCTACGGCATCTATATATATGTATATAGATAGTCCACCGATTCGCCATGCTCCGACTTATATACTAGTAAAATTATATAGATAAATAACTCGATAGTTTCATTGAAATAGCTTGCTTTAAATTTGTTCCAAAACAAATGTCGCACATCTGTGCATATGATTCCCAACTTGTTCTAACATCCCCGGAACGAAGTGACTGCTGCCGGCCACGTCTTAGAAATGTGATGTGTTACAAAAGTTGCAAGTCATTGTTTATTAGTGTTCAAAGTTAATTACTGATCATACAAACTTCCTGATCAAAGTTACTTACTGCTCATAGTTACTTATTACTAAACTTCCTTGTCAACTTGTTACTGTTCATTGGTACATACTGATCATAATTAATTACTGATCATAGTTAATTACTGATCATAACATAGTTACTTAATGTTCATGGATACTTACTGGGAGAAATTATTGAAGAAATTTAAAAACATGTCTAGGAAATAGTACAAAATCTTCAATTAAATATATGTATATGTATATTTATATATCCCCCAAATTGTGTATTTTATCAAGAAAGTCTGTAATCTCTAGGCCACAATCTCATTGATACTTACTGGTCATAGACACTTACACAGTAATTACTGATCATAGTTACTTACTGTTCGTAGAAGCTTACTGTTGAAAGATACTTACGGAATCCTTTACTGCGTTGCAAACTTCTGACTGAAATTATAATACTCTGCAAGGGTATAAAAATGAAGATGATTTTAAGCAGAACTACAACTTATTTCAGTTTGTTTATAACATTTTAGTAAAAATACTTTTCGAAATGCAAAATACTCAAACATTTCCCAGAAACTACTTGAAAAATAATTTACTTGAAGCCATCGTCATGGCAGATTTAAAATTATTAGGAACTGTTGTCTATTATTTTCCCAGCAACATCGACAACAATGCCTTCTTGGTTAAAAAAAACCACCGTTTTTCTAAGGAAACACGCATTTGCCATGCATTTGAGTCCTTGATCCCAATAAATAGCTATAAATAATGACAATAAACTTACTTCTTGAGTGACTATGAACAGGCAATGTGAAAAATGTATTGTGAGAAATCATTATAAAATGTTAGGTTGTGTTATTTCGGTTAATTCTAAATAACAAATAACTTAATAAATGAATACAAATAAAGGGAAAGGGAAAATATCATATTATGTCGTGCAAGGTTGTAAATGTAGAGACTATGACCTAGATCGAACTAGTGCCCTGTCCACCTGTAATCTCGAAAACCCAATCTAAAAAAAACTGACATCCTCATCCGCGACATACGCAACAGGTTTCGTCCTGAATTTCCGCAAGGACGAAAAGAGCAGAGCTGCAACCGCAACAGCTGGTTCCTGGTCTTGGTTTTGGGGCAAGGACACAACCTCACAACAACGGCAGGCAAACAGTTGCATGCGGCACAGACAAATAATTACGCAGCCAATGGCCTTGGCCTTGTCCTTCGCCAGTTCTCCAGTTTTCTAGTTCTCTAGTTTTCTACTTCTCTCTGGATCCACCACTTCCGGCCTCCCCCTTGTGTGCACCTGTGAAAAAGACCAGGTAAGCTAACATCGAAGCCTTTCAGCAGAGCCTTTCAGCGACAGGTCCTTTTACGCTTTCCTTTGCTCAATAGGAATCTCAAGATATTAAATGACCTCAAGGAGGTACCAAAACAAACAAAAAAACTTCTCTAGACTTTGGACTTTTGCAGTTAAAATGTAAGATTTTAAGAGGTTCTCCTTTTTAGTAGCAAAACTGAAATGATGGCCCATTTTGGCTGAACTCTTGACATAAAGATATTGGAAATCTCCGTCTTTCCATTTAATAGAATGTAATATGCGAGAGAGAGGAAGGATAGCTGGGGTACAAGTGCAGCAGCGGATGCCGAGTCCAACACTGCGTATGCTTGATAATTCAGCTCCGGCAGCGTCATAAATATGTTTTTCGGGGCAACTTGCATCAGCCCAAGCCGTGCCGGGCAATAAATCATCATCAATGACACAGGGCCGGCATGCCGCATCAGCTTTCGTTCCCTATGTCTATGTGTGTGGGTGGGTGTAGTGACTCCGCCGACTGCTGCTCCTCCTTCTTCTTTAAGACGAAAAAACGTTAAAAGTGAAAACATAAAGCATATAAACTTTGATGCTTCCATTACTCTTTTTGTTCCGCGTGTTCCATGGCTTACTGGGCACCTTGTTGCCACCTTCCGCTGCTTGCTCCTTTGCCATCTTAACCCCGGGTATCCTTGTCCTTGTCCTTGTCCATGCTCGTGTTTGTGTCGATGTCCATGTCCGGTTTGATGGTGGTGAGACACAGCAGCTTGTACGCCAGGCATTATGGCCGGGAGTCGTTAAGCTTTGGCGCTACTTTGTGACCGTTTTACGAAGCCAGCGGGAAGACACAAGCTTCTTTTTGGAGTCCGAATGCCATGTGAGTTAGGACCACTGGAATTATGATTGCCACACGCGGATTGGCCATAATTTTATTAGTCCCTGGGCCAAAGCATCGCACATCATGGGTGCCTCCTGCTGACATTTCAAGCTCACTTAAATCAATTCATAATGTTTCAAAGGTCAAAAATATTTTGCTATTCAGTGGGAGAAGATGTATATTAAGGAGCACCTTTAATGAAAATACAGATTGAGGTATACTGAAACATGATATTGACATTTTACCAGCAAAGAAAAGATACTAAGAAATCAATGATTTAAATAAGCAGATATAAAGCAACACACGAAATTTATTAACGCATTGAATAAATATCAAGGAAATCTGATATTTTTGTAGTCGAAATAAATAAAAATAACAGCAAAAGTTAACATTTGCTTTAAATGGATTGCAAAAGACGTCCATTAGGCGAGATTTCTGATTCCTTTAATATTATTTTTAAGCATATTCATGTACATGGCTGCTGCATTGCCTTTTATGGTCAACGCATTTATCTGCCTATCGAATGCAAACAATATATATATAGCAAACCTTCCCGGGCCAATAGCGTTAATGCACAAAATTGCTGCAAGCTGCACTGCTCTGTGATTGGACGATATCATAAAGGACTTTTCCGGGGTTGCCGAAATAAGCCCTCAGGCTAATAATCACTCTGGACACTCCGACTTTGCCTGGGAAAGGTGTTCATCGGCCTAGGAATGCAATTATCCCCACAAGGGAGGCGCATTGAAAATTAGAAATGAGTTGCTGCTTGGCTAGGAAAGGACAAAGGATGCAATTAAAAATTTGGGCATACACTTCCTTGCTTTCTTAAAATGTTGGAACTCTATATGGGCAATGCACAATGCACTTGTGCATTCCACAAAGCCAGTGGCCTCAGATTGATTCGGCAGTCGCTGCTGTCTTTTGTGATAACCGTTGTCAGCGCTTTTCCATTGTTCTATTTGTCATATCCTCCTGGCGCTTCCTGGGATATCTGGCATGTGTTGATTAACTTCCCTGCTTACCTTCTGCTTCCCTACCCACTGCTTGTGGCCCAGCAGGACTCGTCAGCTTTCAGGGAACCCTTTGCTGCATATTTATTGGCCCATCCTGCAGTCAGGACAGTTTCATGGGAAGTGCAGGCAAAGGCCTGGTGACTATGTGGTGCCAGGATTGTTAGAATACGCTGTAAACGTTCTCGTTTGGAATCTGAGGAAATATGGTACTTTTCCCCAATTCAAAAATACGATTTAATTGATACAAAAATGCAATTAAGTATCCGTTTTGCAAATGAAATGGACAGAATGCATACAACGAAATCTATTAAAGAGTCAACGTGGCGTATGAGTGATAATTGAAGGTTTACACCAGTTGCCGTTCATTAATAAGTTCATTTCGCAAAAATCGTCCCAATTAAGTGCCAAATGATGATATTTAAAAGGCTATGAGGGTATTACCGACTTCGAATACTCTTCTTCATAATTAAATTGTTCATTCAAAGGTAGAAGCACCAGAGCACAGCAACAGCGGGATATTAAAAGAAGGACCTTTTTTCCTGCATTTTGGTACCTGTACTCTGGAATGTTTGTAGCTCGAAGTTGAATGCCGGAAACATTATTTATAGCTTACTAATTGAATTAAAGGCGACGGCGGGGGCTGTTTGAACTTCCTGGCAAAAGGAAAACCCTTTCGCTGCCCCTGGAAAGTTGTCGCATAACAGCTTGTTTCCCATTGTGCCACTGTCCCCGTCTTGCCAGTTTTTATGCCAAAGTCCCCTACGTAGGATGAACAACACATCTGTCAAATAATATTTTATTTTCAAGAGGTTGCCATGAGATTGGGGGCCAGTTTAGAGTTTCCCGGCAGTGCAATAAATCATGGCCAGAAGCAGGGACATTTCAATTCCGTTTATTTTGTTTTTGTTTTTGTTTCAGTTCCAGCGAGAGCGACAGCTCCTCTCCAACAGAGCAAGGTTGTTGTTACCAAAATCAGCTCAAGGGGCCGACTTATCCAGGAAGAGAGATACAGATAAATAAATTCAATTTCGGCAATATAAGGCGGAACCTGTTTATGGGATCTGGAAACGTGGGGGAAATTAGAAACACAAATACCTAAATAAACTCAATCAAAAACAAGAAAGAAAAGTAATGTTGGGAAGCTGGATTTTAAATACTCTTGCACTTTACAATTGAATTCAAGGTTCGAGTTAGAAATCGATCTTAACTAAGCTTAAAATATTCGCATTCGTTGAGTCGATAATTTATATGTGACAAATATGACAAATCAAAGTTTAAAAAACTCATATCTTAGCCAAAAATTGATTAATTTTAATTCGGAAAGCGTTCCTATGTTAGTTTTTATTAGGGTAATAAATCTGCATACTCAATATAGAACTTAAAAAAAAAAAAAATATATATTAATTTTTTAAAATTCTAACGGTGTAACCCCTTATAAAATTAAAAAAAATTTTAAAAAATTTTTTTATGCCAAAAATAGCTATAAAGATTCGCCTGTTGATGCTGATCAAGAATATATATGATTTATAGGGTCGAAAATGACTCTTTCACAGCGATTCAAGCTTCTGACTAAAATTATTATACCCTGCAAGGGATAAATAGTGATATTTATATTATGTAGACAAATTCCCGTATAATTAATTACTAAACGTAATAAAGAATTAATTATACAAGCTAATACCGAAATGGTTTCCTAAAATCAGCTTCATTTTACGCCAACCTGGCGTATACGCAATAATCTGCAACAATAATGGAGGGAATAGCTGCCAATTAAGATGCATTGGGCGTGAAATGTGGCCAGGACGAAGGAGCATCCAATCAGACAGCTCACTGTTGCGTGTCCTTGAGACCAGTGCATCCTCACAATCCCCACAAACGTAGCGATCCCAGCGATTTCCCGTTGTCCGTCCATCATCAATCATGATTCGAACAGGAAATCGTTACGACGCCCAGCACAAAAGCTGTCAGTGTCAGCGGTACCTGGTCTGGGCTGCAGGTGACTCTTGGAGGTGACTCTTTGAAGGTGGTGCGGAAATCTCGTAAAGATTCCTATAGTTTGGCCCATGGAAACTTGCAGCAATATGGCTGCAATCCGCTCAGAACGCCCGCCTTTTGCGTTATTAAGAGCTGAAGTTGGAAAAGTCCCATCAAGCTGGTGGGCAGTGGGTGGTCTAGTCTCTCTATATTTAACCTAGCTCCCCCTAGAACCTGCTGTTCCTTTGTTCCCTTCACCTTGGATTCCCTCTCCTTTTGGCTTCTCCTTCCTCCTTGCTATTCTTTTTGCGGAGCTTGCCGCTGTTGTTGCCAGGATTACTTGGCTCGTTATAAAAATAAAACAAATTGAGGCAGCAAATGCAACACGACAGGCGACAGACGGACACGAAAGAACATCGGAAGAGTCCAGGAGGGATGACTAGTGGAGGTACAAAATGGAGGAGGAGAAGGAAAGTGGATTGGCCCGCCATCCGCAGGAATTTGGAATTTTTTCGCTCTGAGCTCCAACTTTGCTTCATGCCTTTTGGTTTAATTCTGCTTTTGCTCGGTTTATTTTACTTTATTTTTAATTTTTTGTTAATTGATTCTCACATTTGTGCTTTTTTGTGCAAAAAAGAGTTTATTAACACATATCTGTGGTTGCATGCTGCATGATACTTGGTTGAACAAACTTTTGCTAACTATAATTCTCTGTAATAAAAGCAACCTTACAGACTAGAAGTAAATATTATTTCATTATAAAAGTATTGTGTGGTAATTCCATCTTAAGCTTCCTTTTTTTTCTTGAATAGTGGGTGTCTGTAGCAAAATCTCTTCCCAATCTTATTTTCTATCTTTAAAAGCCAGATTACTTTTGCCAAAGGTGCATGGATTTTTAAACAAAAGAATGCCAGAGCATTTCATTCTGAGAAAACTCTGTTTAAGAGAAAAATGTACCTGCTGTGCTTTATTTTAAAACTCATTTTCAGAATAGTAGAAATAATTAATTGCTTATTTTTTGCCAGAGGCCAGTTGTCATTGCAATTTTTGCTTTATAATATCAAGTCCTACTTGCTCTTGCTCCTACACCTGGTCATCCTTCTGCTCCTAGCTTTGCTTCTGCTCCTGCTCCTGCTTCTCCTCAGGCTTCAGTTCTTGCTTCACTGCTTTACTACTCTTGTGCTCCATCTCCTCTCCTGTTCAGGCGTTAAAGGAGCGCAGCATCATGATGTACGACATGGCAGAGCGGACAATCTGGAAGTGGTGAAGTGACACATGCAGACAAGTGGAACTAACCCAACTGGCCAGTTTCCATTCTACCAAAACAACTCACCGTCGAGAAGGTAGCCATGCTTGCCTCGAAGAAGTAGCCCTTCATCTGGCAGGGACGCTGGGCTCTCATGGCGGCAATGAGCAGTGCCCTCTTGGTCGACGGAGTAAAGTCCGTCCAGGCGCTCTCGTAGAGTCCATTTCCAAAGTCCTGGCTGGCGCTCTTGATGTTCTCGCCGCACTTGGAGTAGATGAACAAGGCTATGAGCAGCGAGCCCACAAAGGCGATGAAGTATAGGCTCTGGGGCTTGGGAAATAGATCCGCCACCTGAAAGCCAATGAAGCAGATCTGCAGGGCCGACAAAAAGAATTGTAAGAAGATCAGGGGTCGGTACTGGTCAGCGATATGATCAGCTATCTGCAGGCCCTTTTGATGAAGCAACAAAACCTGGACTAGACTCTCCAGCTCCTCCCTACCGCCCACCGCCGGCAGGTGAATCATTCGATGTTTGGCGATCTTGAAGATGGCGCATACGTTGTACGTGAAGAAAAAGAGCAGGGTGTCCACGCACAGGGCCATGGTCACCTGGCTTTGAAGATTAAGTAACTAAAGATAAGAATGTATTCCTGCCAATCACTCACCGCACTGTAACTGGCCATCACGTTCCACAGATAGGTGGGCACATACCACCAGACCACCTGGAGATCCCACGGATATACACCATTATGGGGCAACTCCAGATGGATGCCCGACTCACCCACGCTGCCCCGGATCAAGGAAACAACAATGGCCACAAAGGGCTTGATGGCAGCAAAGACACCCGCCAGACCGAAGCAACGCGTGTAGGTCAGACTGAGCATCTGATCGCTCTGATTCTCCTCATCCACAATTCCCTGGGCATCCGGCCACACACTGATTTCTAGGATACGAAAAAGAGTTGGGAAGTTAGGAGTCTTCAATGGAGAAAGCCTTTTCCGCACTCACCCCTGTCTAGAATGCCCCTGATGCGGTAAATTAGGCCAACGAACTGCTTGCGGTAGTAGCAGAAGAGCAGAAACTTGACTAGGGTCAGCATGCTGGCGAACGTGGAGCCCAAGGTGTCGGACAGCAGGCTCACCTGGGTGATGTATTCGCGGGCGGCAAGGAACATGGGGACCATGAACAAGAATAGCGGAGCCATTGTGACGAACGTCAGCAGCTGGCGGTCATTGGAGCTTGTGGGGCTCCACAGGTCGATGCCCATGCAACGGTAAACGAGAATCTGGACGCGCAGCGATTGGTTTTGCTTCTCCTGCCGAGGTCGTTCCTGCTCCCGCCTCTGCTCTCGCTCCTTTGTCGGGTTTGAAGGTTCCTGGACGTCGTCACTCATCTTGAACAGCCGGATTATACGTAGGGTTCTTGTCCATCGTGTGGTTTTTATAGGGACAAGCCGTAAGGGGCGTGCCAGTCCCCGTGGCTGTGTCACAGCGAAAGTACAGTCGAAATTCGATGGAGTGGCATTTTCCAGTATGGTTTCAGTTGGCAAGGAACTTGTGCGAACTTCTTAATCTAAGTGTAAGGTTATATCTTGATCAGCAGCAGCAGGCGAGTCAATAGAGACTTGTCCGTTGAACTCTGCATTGCATTTTTGCATTCTTTAACTATTTAAATTCGACTAAAGCAGGCTTGATTGTACTTTTTGTTCGCTGAACACTAAGGCGGAGGATTTGGCACTGCTTTCATTTAATATGCTTTTTTTTTGTCCCGCGAAGAGGGGCGTGAGGGTGTGTGTGGAAGTGCAAGTGCATTCATGGCTCTAATTACACGACTTTTTTTGGCCTTTCACTTTCATTCTTTGGCTCTTCTTGACAATCAAATGGCAGCCCTTGGTTCCCAGGAAGTGCATTATAATTTTAATGAGTCTGTGGAAATATGAGCCTCCGCACAGGTCGCGAATAGATATGGCGGGGCGAGTACAGTGCAATTATTTGTAGCCCGGTAATTAGATGCGATTTGCCAAAGCTGCCGTTGACATTTGATAAGAACACTGTAATTTTCCACATGCCGAGATTAAAAATTTCTGAATGCCCAGGCTTAAACTTCAGCAAATGGAGAGGCCTCTAATTAAGCAGGAAAACTAATTATATAGTGTGATTTCCATGTGACTCTGGAATTATAAGAGTCTTGCCTGAAAGTAAAAAGCCTTCACGGGTTTTATTACCACATTTAATTCATCCAGTTTGATGGCGAACTATCAACGGTGGTAGTTGTCCAAAGGAAAATATCATAACTAAGTCAAAAATGCATTAATTTCAATTCGGATAAATTTTCTGTGTTAGTTTTTATTAGCTTTGCAAACCTGCATATTGAATTTAACATTTTAAACATATTAAAAATTTCCCCTTTTTTGCAAAATTTTAACGATGTAACCCCTCATAAAATTTTGAAAATTTTGATAAAAAGAATTTTCTTCCCAAACTGAGCTAGATTGATTCAGTTTTTGATGCTGATCAAGAATATATATGATTTATAGGGTCGAAAAAGATTCCTTTACAGAGTTAAAAGCTTCTGACTGAAATTATAATACCCTAAAAAGGTATATATCTTAATATATTTTAAGTTTTAATAAAATATTGGAAAAATCAAACATTTTCAAATATCAAACCTAAGCCAAAAATTAATATCTATTGGGAAAGCTTGTCTGTGCTTATTATTATAGGTCATTATTAATAGGTTAGTTAATCCGCATACTGAATATTCAATTGTTTTTCAGCGAATATTTATCGTTGTTTTTATATGCTAATTTTTTTTATAAATCGAATTTTCACAATGCCATAACTAAGCCAAAAGAGCATCAATTTCAATTCGGAAAGCTGTTCTAAGCTAATTTTGATTGGGTTAATAAATCTGCATACTAAATTAATATTTTTACAAAATTTAAATTTTTGTCAAATTAAAAAAAATTTTATGATGTTACCCCTTACAAAATTTGTAAAAAAAAATTTAAAAAAATTTTCCTGAAGTATTTTGGCTAGAAAGATTCGCCTTTTGATTCTCATCAAGAATATATATTATTTATATGGTCGGAAATGAGTCCTTTGCTGACAAAAGGTGAAATACCCTCTGCAAGTTCATATAAAAACATTAATAATAATTTATTGTTAATCAGGCTTTCAGAAATTATTTGCAATTTTTTTTGGGCTAATAAATCTGGATAAAGATTGGGATAATTACCTTCAATCGATAAAGTGTATAAATATTTATATATATTTAAAAATACGTAAAATGACTTCATATCTTATAACTTTATGTAAGCTTTTCAAAGTTTTGGGGCACCTTTTTCGAAGTTCTTTACCTTCTTTGAGCTTTAAAGCTTATTTTAAGGTTAAACCTTACATTCCGCCAATATTTTTAAATAATAAATTTGTTTTAAAATGTAAACAGATGTAAAAAATGTTGCTCTTGTGGTGTTAAAAAAATTAATCGATGTATCGGCTCTTTCAAAAACATAAGTACTATCGATAGGAACATCGATATATGTTTGCAGCCCTGTCAGTTGTATAACCTCAGCCGAAAATCTTTTTATTGTCGCTTGCAGCAGCTCGAATTCGTACAAATAAACCCAAAAGTAAGTCGAGTTCAATAGCCAGGGCTTCTGCCGAGTTCGCAATTAACCCATTACATGTTTCTACCTCCAGTCATGGCTGGCGAAGGCGAGAAACTGACCGGTCTGTCGAAAATCTTCAATGGCACTACCATGTCCGGCCGTGCAAACGTGAGTATCGTGAAGTTCGCCCGGTTCATGGAGCTGTATTGCTAATCCTGGTATTATGCCACCGATCCGGTCTTCCAGGTGGCCAAGGCCACGTACGCCGTGATGGGCCTGCTGATCGCCTACCAGGTGCTGAAGCCCAAGAAGAAGTAGAGCCCGCTCCCATGCGTGCCACTTCACCAGCTGAGGATGAGGAAGAGCCGTCGTCAGACTCTGGATCTAGTGCTGCCGGTAACAAGACCACTTGGCAGGCGTCCCCGGTGCGGGGGCGTGTATATTTTATGTGTAGTGCAAGGCCTTGAAGGAATAAATAAGTTGAGAATGTAACACACTGAACCCCAAAATGCGTGTTATGTAATGATCCTTCGTTTCAACGATGCATTTTTGCCCATCGGACAGAGATGTTGGAGTTATTACTCTTGGGATAATTAGCAGCAGATGAGACCTCCACTTTTGATCTTATATGGACTCAGGGTGACTCAGTGAATGATAGGTTGTTCCACCGGCTCTTCAGCAACAATTGTATGCGTTATATGGTATAAAGAGAGGCAATAGCTGTTGCATTCTAGGCAAAGCAACATACCCATACTCTCTTATTTAATATTGTGTAAAACAAACCATTCAAGCTATTAATGAGATGGTTTTCATCGTTTTACCTTTTTGCATACATACCTCTAAGTCATTTTAAAAAAATGTCTTTACATAAGTGTTGCCAATACTGAAACCTGTAATTTGCTAAAGAATTCTCTTTTTGACAACATACGTTGTCCAAGTTTTCACGCAATTTAAAGCCAAATGAACTAAAAACTTTACAGACACCTTTTAATAAAAATGTTCTTCATTTACTGCTGCAGCTAAGATCAATGATATATCATCTGGTAACCAAGGAATCTCTGAAAGTGTATAAATATTTGATCGAAAAATCATATATTACCAACTTAAACTATTCTACAATTTCATTTCGAAAAGACACAGCAATGGGTCGGGTTGTCCATGATCTCTAGGAATGCAATTACCAAAAATCGGCTTTATTCTTTTTTGATTTTTTTGGTTTCGTTTTAATATTTTATTTAAAGTTTTTATTTCATTTCAAACTTGCTTTAAATCTCCTTTCTTTTTCGTGGGACTTGGGGGGAAGGGATTTTGAGAGGGCGTTTCGACGGGTTTAGAGCTTTCGCTAGCCCCCCCCGGCTTATCGAAATTTCAGTATTACTACAAATTAATTTGAATGAATTGAATGTAAAAATGGTTTACATATGCTTTGTATGCCATATAATCTTCTCCACCGCCTATCCTGCATTCTCATTCTCATACTCCTCTAATCCTTCGTGCTCCTACACTCTGTTTCTGCGGTCCTTGGCCTCCTGCCTTAACCATCATCGTTATTGTTATCGCTATCATACTCGTTATCATTCTTATCCTGCTGTGCCGCTATCCTTGTCTTGTCTGCGCTTAGTGGAGACGAAAAACCAGAGACGATGCATTTTAAAATATAGGTATAAATTAATGTTTATATCATTTATCAATTATATATGCTATAATATACCTTTTACATGTATTGTGTGAAAGCAAGCTTGCTTCGTTACGTTTACGTTAATGTTTACTCGTCATTTCATTTAATTTGTGTTTGTTTCTCTTTCGGTTTTCTTTTCTTTTTAATAACTAAACATTGCCTGGCATAGCAAATATCCCATTTTGTTGTGGGCGTGGCTAGGGGGTATATGTGAGTGTGTGTGAATGTGTAGGGAGGATGTGTGTGGACTAATTAATAACGCTATATGCACTTTGATACCATTGAAATTATGTTTCTGTTTGGTTAGCAGCCTAGCGGAAAGTGCCTTAGCCTTTTTTTTAACTTTTTCCTCGTTCACTGGCTTTGCTTTTATTATATTAATTCTACTACATTTAGTCGCATAGGGGCGGGATCCGGAAAGCTTGACAGGGATCTCGCGCACCGGTTGGCTTCGGGGACTGAGAGAGAGATCCCATGCCCCGTTCGTTCCGCCGGAATCTGTTTAATTTGTTGTATTTATTTATGTTATTTTTGTTGCGGGTCACGAGGTTAATTGTATTAATTTACTTGTAATTACTGTGTGTGGGCTTTCCGCTTTCGTTAAAAATGTTTGCTTGGAGTGTTTGTTGTTTGTCCCTTTGTTTTTGTTGTTTCGCTTGGATTTTGCCTCTATAAATGTATGTATATTTATGCAAGTGTATGTGTATGTGTTTAGTATATGCCATACATATCATATCCTTGTTAAGTTACAGTTACATAATGAATTACACATTTATATAAATTGTTTAAATTTCAATTTGTTTCCTTTGCCATCCATTGCGTTACGTTACGTACGTAGCGTTGCGTTACGCTCCCGTTCTACCTTGAGCATATATAAACGTTCGATCTGTATTCTGTCGATCGCAGCTTTTGCCATTTCTTCAAATTGCAGCTGGCGGGTAAATGATAATCGATTAACTTATTATCGCCGGCAACGGCTGCCGAGGTGGCAACACTGGCTGCTGGCCGGCGACAGTGGCGGCGGAGGCGACGACGTTGCCACCCGTGTGCGATTGCGCTGAACACTTTTTGTTTTTTTTTTTCAATTTTAAGCTTGGTTCCATTTTGGTTTTTCTCGTTATTCGGTTTCCATATTTTAGAGGATCAGGGTTTTGTCATCATATACATATATATATATATGATATATATATATTAGAGTGTGTATTTGTATACATATATAGGAGCCCGCAGAGTACAATTTGTGACGCAAGTGTCTGTTGTGGTTTATAAGACAAGATTTCTATATGTATGTATTTGCTTTACTTTTGAACTTAACTTTGCGCTTAAACAAACTCGCCTTTCATTACTCTCCACATTTCTGTCTCTATCTCTTTCGATCTCTCTTTCTGTTTTCCTTTCTCTCTCTCTCTTTCACACACTGCCTTTCTGTCTGTCTGTCTTGTCTGTTTCGCTGTTTATACAGATAGATCGATTTCGATAGATATTAGATAGATACGATAGATTGTATATATAATGTATATTGTAGCATAATCATAAATTAGAATTATTAGTTGATTTTTTGTTGGTTGCAAAAAAGTTAAACAATATGTATGTATATATATATAAAAAAATTAAAGCATACGCAGTGCCAAAGGTTCATTATGTTGTTGTTGTTGTTTCGTTTTTAAAGGGGAAGAGAATCTACTACAAAAAATAATAAATGTAATTATAAAAGTAACATAATATTATGTAAATTTGTTTGACAAAAAATACACTCTGCTATTTTATGTAAGTATGTATGTATTATATGTATGAAGATTTTATGCACGTGGTTGTGTGTGGTGTGTGTGTGGTGTTGTGTTTGCTTTTTTTGTGTTTTGTTTTAAATATTTCTTGTTGCAATTATTATTTCCTTACTCGCTTGCCTTGTTTTAACTAGTTTCTTCTTCTCACTTTCGACATTTGCCTTGGCGGTTATGTTCGCTACTACTTGTTTATGTTTTTCGGGAGACTTGCTCTGGGTGTCGCTCTTAATGTTGCTCTTGTTGTTCTTGCTCTCTTGCCGTTTGTGGTGTGATGGGGATTCCCCTTAATCACTCACTCACTCGCATCCCCTCGTTCTCCTCTCTCGATTCTGGTTCTCTTCGATAGGACTCTCCGTTCTCATCTTTCTTATCCTTTTTATAATCATTTTCGATCCGATTCTATTGCTTGCGCTTTCGCTAGTTCTCCTCCTGGCTTCGATCCCCTTCCAGCTCATCCGTTCGTCTGCTACTCCTCCATGTCCCTCCATATTCGCCTGTGTGTGTCCGTGTCCGTATGGAGGCTGCTAGTGGGTGGCTGTGGTACTGGTGGCTGGCTTGGGTGGCTCGGGAGGTGAGCGTGTCCAATAAGCACTCAATTTGCGTGCCACTCTCCTCGATTGGCTCCGCCGCCGGCTCCGGTGGCGTTGTTCGCATAGTAGGGCTTGCCGGGGCCTGAGCCCGCCGAACCGCCAGCTCCACCGCCTCCGGCACCACCTGGTCCACCGTTGCCGCCATTGTTACCGCCAGGCGGTCCGACCGGTGTTTGGCTACCGCCACCGGCACTGCCGGCAACGCCACCTCCTCCACCGGCGCCACCGCCGCCAGTCACCTGGCGCATGTTTTGCACACGCTGCTGTGCCGCCGCCGCTGCTGCTACAGCTGCCGCTGCCTGATCCCGCTGTTGATGCTGCTGCTGCTGTTGCTGCTGCTGCGGATGTTGCGGGTAGTTGTTGGGCCTCTGAATGGGCGTGGGATATCGCCCCTGGCCGCCGCCACTCTGGCCCACGCTGCCGACACCGTTGCCACCGCCACCATTGCCGCCCACCTGGGAACCTCCGCCACCTCCATTACCGCTACCGCTGCCCACGGCACCGCTTCCACGGCCGCCAAGGGCACTCATATTGCCGTTGCCGCCGCCGCCTCCACCGCCTTGCCGCTGCTGTTGCTGCTGCTGCTGAGATTGCTGCTGCTGCTGTTGTAGCACTTGGTTTTGCAGATCCCACTGAAAAGATAAAAGGGAACCCAGGAACTTAGTAAAGGGAAGCTCGATTCCTAGCTGCTGTTACTTACGGCCCCGTAGTTCTTATGGTGCGGTGGACTGGGCTGCGACTGCACCTGCTTAGCCAGTCCGAGGCTCATGTCGGCGCTCAGGGGGCTCTTTAGCTGACGGCCCATCTTGGGAAAAGATCGGGAGAGAGGCATTAAGTATGGCGGTTTTATAAGTATTAGCTAATTTCATTAATTTTACCCAAGTTCGATTATGAGTTGTTGTTAAGGTATATTATTACTTCCCCAAGTATACTCCAAGAATGTTTATGGAATATGGTGTAAATCTTAAATCTTTTAATTCATATCTATCTTCATATCTGCTACGCTTTGCCTTTTTTTGGGTTCGCACCCAAACTTAATTAGATTATTAGAGTCGTCTCCTAACCTAAAGGTCTTAAGGAACTCTTTTACCCCTCAAGTCCCTACATTTTTAAACCAATTCGGACAAAAGCTTAAAACAAGACGTAGGACTTATTTGTGGCATATTTTTCTTGATTTTCATGACTACAAAAACAGTACATCCATCATTTAGTTTCATTGCAATTTTGTAATACTCTCCGGGTATCTTGAAATCTTCATCGCCTGCTTTCCAATTTCCTTGCCATGGCTTACCGAGTCTTGCATGTGTCCTTGGCCCTGGCTGCCCTTGAGATATGCCGCTCCTGGCGTTGGTCCGCCACGGTACTGGTTGATGTTGGCCGCCGTCAGTAGTTGCGAGTTCATAAACTGAGTGTTGAAGGTGCCCATCGTGTGCTGCGACTGTGGCGGTCCAGGCGGTCCGTTGGAGCCTGGTGGTCCACCTTGATGGCCCCCGTACATGCCGGCCGCTGTTGCTAGACCGTAGCTTTGAGCTCCTCCATTGCCTTGAGGTGGAGGTCCGCCGTAGAACTGGGGTCCGCTGGGTCCACCGGGCGCCGAATTCGAGTAATAGCTGTTCGACTGTAACTGGTGGGCGCCGGGTGGCGGACCGCCCTGACCAGGATGCTGCGGTGGTGGTCCCGCGTAAAGATTCATGTACTGCTGAGCGGTGTAGGGACCGGATCCCGGACCGGGTCCAGGGCCAGGTCCTGGTCCCGGACCACCACCACTGCCCGCCGACTTTGAGCCTATGGCCCCAATGGGCTGCTGGCTGGGCGGCGGCTTGGCCGCGCCCGATGACATCATGGAGCTGCTGCTGGACGAGATGATAGCTACTGCCGCATGGTTGCTTGGGTTGCTCAGCTGCTGTGAACTGGGCTGTCCGAAGGGACCGGGTCCCGGCCCGGGTCCACCGCCCAGACGGAACTGTGACGAGAGGTTTGAGTACATGTCCGGGGCGGGCGCTGTGGGCGGCAGGTTACCACCGTGCGGCGTCTGCATTGCGTATGCATTCACGTTGACGTTGAAGGGTCCGCCGCCTGCGGCTGCTGCCGCCGCAGCCGCTGCGGCCGCATAGTGGCCCGGGAAGCTGTGGGCGGCCGCCGCCGCCGAGTAAGCGGGCGAGCGGCTCGAATGATCGAGCGAATGGAATGGAGCGTACAGGTTGACGCCCTGCGCCGGTGGCGGCGGCGCCATCTGTGACGAGTTGAACACCGCAGCCGGCGGGCTGGGGATCGTGGGAATGCCTCCGACGCCGAACTGTGGTGACGCCTGGTAGAACGACGGCGGTTGCTGCTGTTGATGGGCCTGCAGCTGCTGTTGGTGTGCCTGCTGCTGCGAGTGCTGCTGTTGTTGGCTAGGCGGTGGCGACATGCCCAGATGCTGTTGCTGCTGCTGTTGCAGCTGCTTGGCTTTCTGGTGTGCCTGCTGCTGTTGAGGACTGGGATAATCCTCCTGCTGGAACTGCTGCTCCAGGGAGCCCGCATCGAAGGGCGAACCATGGCCGTAGCCATGGCTATGTCCGCCGGGCACCGGGCCTGGCGAAGAAAGCGCATGGTGCTGATGGTGCGCCTGCTGCTGCTGGTGGTGCTGCGCCTGCGCCGCTGCCACCGCTGCCGCCGCCTGCTGCTGGTGATGGTGGCTCTGCATGTGCACCGCCGAAACCGCGTAGTGGGGCATCTGCTGGTGCTGCTGCTGTTGCTGCTGCTGGTGCTGCGAGGCGGCCACTGCAGCGGCCACGAAGGAAGCTGCGCTCATGTGGCCACCGCCGTCGTCGCCAGCCTGCTGCTGGCCCACGACCTGCTGTTGTTGCTGTTGCTGCTGGGAGCCCACTTGCACCTGTGACTGCTGTTGCTGTTGGGGCTGCTGCTGCTGCTGTTGCACCTGTGCCGGTGAGGGGCCCTCCGACATTGGCGTGGCCGATTCCCACACCTTCTTCACGCTGGCTATCTTCATGTTGAGATCCGCCGTCGAGTTGTTTTGCTGCTGTTGCTGCTGAGAGTGTTGCTGCTGTTGCTGTTGCTGGCTGGGCGTCTTTTCCATTGCGTCCACCTTGAGTGGCGCGGTTGGATCGTCGCCAAAGCTGAAGCCCAGTTTCATGTCCTGAGAGTCTTCGCCGGCACCAGTCGGCTTACCACCGAAGGTCATCTGGGAGAGGGCGCTGGACAGGCTTTCCACAGTGTTAGTCGCGCTACCTGATACTACTCCTCCGGCTCCGCTGCTACTGCCACCGGCGCTTGATACAGTGAGCGGTCCGGTAGGCTTGGCCACCACGGCAGCGGCCGCCGCCTGCTGCTGCTTGTACGTGGAGTTCTCAAAGATTATCGTGTTGACGGGGGCGCCAGCTTCAAGCAAAAGATTGGACGACGGACCCGATCCCACGGCACCAAGAGGTGTCTTCTCACCAATGGCAGGCAACTTACCGCTAGCCGCCTTCTCGCCGCCAACCACAGAGCAGGAGTCGTTCTTCTTCTTGTCCGCCGAACCGGAAAGGGCTCCGACTGAATTTGATGTGGCAGATGCGGATCCAGCTGTGACCGCTGACGAAAGACCGGGCGGTAGGCGGGCCGGCGAGTCCTTCTGCGCCTCGTCCTTGACCAGCAGGGCAGTGTTGTGGCCGGTGGCCATGGTGGCAGTCTTGTCCTTCTCCTCGCCGCTGAGGGCAGACCCATCCTTGTCGTCCTTGTTGGGTTTGTGCAGGCCGGCGCTCAGTGCCAGCTGATTCTGCTTGGTCTTGTCCAGGTCCCCCTCTGACTCTGAGGTGCGTTGCTTGCCATATTCCTCGTAGCCGAGCCTGCCGTAGCTTCGTGTCGCTCCTCCTGCTCCTCCCGAACCTCCGGTGGGACCAGTGCCAACGGGTTGTCGGCGGTAACCGGGGGCGGATCCTGCACCGCTCGACAGACCACCGCGTCCGCGTCGTGAAGGTTCACCGCGGGGCGAGAAGCCAGCCTTGTTTGCCGCCGCCTGCCCAGCACCAGGAGCACTGCTTCCAGATTCCTTGGGGCTGCGACGTGCTGCTCCTCCCGCTCCTGCTCCACCACCTCCGCTGCTGTAGCACTCTTCGTCCACGTCCTCAGAGTGCTCAGATTGCTCCCCGCCGCTGCCGTAGTAGCGTCTACCACCGCTACCACGACTGCTGCTCCAGTCACTGGAGCTTCTCTGGCCACGATAGCTACTGCCCGATCCGACGGATCCAGCGGCTGATCCGCCACTGCCGCTGCCGCCATAGCTGCGTCCGCCACGACCTCCTCCTGTGCCTGCAGCTGCGCTTCTGGGACTGGGGCGCTTATTTCCGGATTTCTCCTCCTCCACCTTGACGCCGCTTGAGGCCGCCTTTACTTTGTCGTCCGTTTCTAGCGATGACTTTTCGTCCTGCTTATCATCGGCGGGCTTCTCGATCTCAACGCTTCGCCGCAGAATCTGCGTGGGCATGGGCTCCGCCGGCAGTGATTTTTGTTGCTGTGGCGAAGCTGGCAGTTGCTTTTGCTGCGCTGAGGACTCCTCGCTGAGGCTCGGTTGTCTGGCCGGCCGCTGCAGGATCTTGATTTGAACCGCCGAGTCGTGGCTGTGGGTCGAGGAGAAGCTCTCCTCGCGGTGTCGATGGTGAACCTTCTGCTCGGCATCTGTCTGTTCCGCCCACGATGAACAAGAGCCCGATCCGGGACCCATCGCGCCAACAAATTCGTCACCGGCCGACGAGACGCTTGTCTTGCGGTGCGAGTTTTCGGAGATGCTTCGTGGCAGTGCCTGCGCCTGACGGTATTCCTGTCCGCGGGTAAATCGTTGCTGTTGCTCCAACTCCTGTTCCTCTCGAGCACTGGCACTGTCGTGCCGATTGCGTCCGTAACTGCTGCCGCTTCCACCAACGCTGCCGCCACGTTGCGCATAGCCACCAGAGATGGTGCGTCCCTGGCCGCTGTTGGCCGATGCTCCTCCAGGCGCTCCTCCGCCACCACTTACGCCGCCCTTCTGTAGGTATCGAGAATTGCTATCAAAGGCGCTGCTGGCCGAGGCGCTCTTCTCTAGGCGCGGCAGCTGCTGCTGCTGCTGTTGCTGTTGTTGCTGCTGCTGCCGCTGGAAACGGGGTGGTAAATTCGATTGGAAATGGGTGAGGAATACGGTCTTTTGACCGTAGTCGCCGCCTGCCGACGAGGAGGCCGACACTCCGCCGACGCCAGCGGTGCCTGTGGGAGTAACACCGCTGCTTAGGCTGGAGATGCTGCCGCGTGGTCGTCTATGCGGGCCTCCGCCTTCGTCTTCGCTGACATTTCCCAGTGGCGCGGACGGTGGTGGCGCCTCGATGGATGACGAGGCTGATGCCGAAGAGGATACTCCTCCTTCGGCTCCCGCAAGAGCTGCCGCCGCAGCCTTCTTGCTGTTCATCTTCATCTCAAGCTCCTGCAGCTTTTTGGCTGCTGCCTGCTTGCGCTCCATCTCACGACGGTCTTCCTCCTCCTTGCGTTGCTTCACTCGTTCGTATACACTGGCATCCAATGCAATTCCACCGGCCACTGGCGCTCCTACGTTGCCGGAGCTGCCACGATGGCCGTTCTGCTGCCGAATATCTTGCTGTTGTTGCTGCTGCTGTTGATCCTGTCCACCTTCTGGCGGCTGTTCGCGCTCACTGCTCTCCTTGCCACGCTGCCAGTTAGAGCCAGCGGTGGAGCTAGGAAGTTTGCGTTGATCATTACTAGCCAATACTGAGGAGGAACCTTGCAACTGCAATTGGGCACTGGAGGCGTGCTGCTTGCTGCCCTGGGCCTGGTGCTCCTCCGGAGTGGACTCGTCGTCCGAGAATGTTAGTTTCTTCGTATAGTCAATGTCGTCCTGCTTGGTCCAGCTGTCATCCTTAGCGATGGCGTTGAGGCGCTCAAGGTCCTCCTCGCGGATGATGGGGCGCTGCATTTGGGCCACCTCAGGTTCCACCACGTAGTCCTTGTCCTTTCGTCCAGCTCCACCGCCACCGCCGCCGTTAGCCTGCTGCTGCTGTTGCGGAGGAGTGGGAGAGCCTCCAATGCCAAGTCCAGATTGTGGAGGCGAAGAAGCGGCCGGTGGACGCTTGGGAATGGCAGCGGCTGCCCGAAAACCACCGCTGCCCACTACCGCCGGCGAGGCGGATCGTGCACCTAGAATCCCGTTTTGATAGGGAGCACTCGGCAACGCCGTCGAGTCCAAGGAGCCGCCGGCCAATATAGAGGCTGCTGTCGTGCCCGAACCGGGCAAGGGAGCACCGCTCCGCATAAACGAGGGCATTAGAGAGAGGATGGGAAGGGGCACAGCTCCGCCGCTTGATCCACCGCCTCCGCCAGCGCCACCTCCGTTACCCGCCATCTGGTGGTGGCCCGGGCCCTGTAGGTTCAGCCCCTGGTCCGCCGCCGCTGCCGCTGCTTCCTTGGCCGCCTTCTCTTGTTGCTGCAGCCATGCAGCCGTGTCGTTCTGTGGACGAAGACTCAGTTCGCCCATCTCCCCGCCGACTCCGCCGCCGACGTCGTCGCTGCCATCTCTGTAATCCCGATGTGAGTGGTGTCCATACTGGCGACCGTGGCCATGGTGGTAGTCCCGATGGTGCTGGTGCTGCTGTTGGTGGTGGTGCTGCCCCTGGTGGTGCTGCGGATGCTGGTGTTGTTGGTGGTGGTGGTGGTGGTTTTGCTGGCTGGCGTGGTGCGACTGGTTCTGGTAGTGGCTCTTGCCCGCTCCAGTTCCCGATCCTACACCCGCACCCGATCCGCCGCCGCCGGCGCCGCTGCCAACTGTGCCGTCCAGCGTGGGGAACTCGTACTGAAATTGGGGACTCTGATAGTGGGGCACTACTTGCTGTTGCTGCGACTGACGACCAAAGTGCTGGCCCCCCGAGCCCCGCTCGTGTCCTGTGGTTATGGCAGACCATGTCTTGGGCGAGTTGACCGAGTGTCCGCCGGACCCAGATCCTCCTCCGCCTCCTACTGTCGACCCGCCGCCTGAAGATCCTCCTCCCCCGCCGCCGGAGTTGTTGATTAGTTTAAAGTTTTTATTGCCGCCGCCGGAGCTAGCGTTGTTGTTGATGCTACTGCTGTTGCTGCTGTTCACAAACTTGCCGGAGTTGGGGCCAAGGCCGACGTTGTTGTTGTGATGGTGCTGCTGGCTATGGTGATGGTGCTGCTGCTGGTGTTGCTGATGGTGCCCACCAGTTGCAGACGCAGCTCCTCCGCCGCCGGCTCCCGATCCGCCCCCTGATCCTCCCGCTCCTGAACCTCCGCTGTGGGCAGTGCTGTTGTTGTGGCTAGTATTAGATCCAGCCGCGCCCGCTCCTGATGCTCCGCCTGCGCCTGCTGCTCCCGATGTAGCTCCTGTAGTAAACAAAACAGAGGTTATACATGTCCATACAACGGGAAGTATGCTCCCAAACTCACCTTCGACTGAGACTAGGAGATTGTTGTTGGTACTGGTGTTGGTCTCGGCCTTCAGGGATGGCAGATTGGCTGGTGGTCGCCTAGCGGACGGCACTTTGCCCAAGATTTGCATTCCATGTTTACGTGGCACTTGATTCTTTTGTGCAGATGGTTCACTCGACTCACCCTGCGGATATATGAGCATGTGGATAAGGATGCCGATTGAAGATAAGGGATGTATGGGGTCACAGGAAAGATATACTTACACGGCTATTCTTGTACATGCGATTTATATCCAACGCTGTGAATTTGGGCTTGGCATTTCGCTCTCCCCTACTTCCCCCAGTGTACTCATGCTGCCAATAGATCCTCATTAGCGTTAGCTTCCTTGTCGCCGCCGCCGCGCTCCGCTCTCTTCTCGACGCGCTGGAGGATGGGCTTTGGATGTCGCTATGTATGCCGATGGGGCTTTTGCTGCTATTGCTGCTACTGTGTAGGCGCTCTATCGCTCTCGCCTTCTTTTGTTGGGATCGCAGCTCTTCGGCTGGGAATCTTATTTCTTCAGTCTTCCTGGTGAGCTGCAAAAGAGGAACGGAGATGGGTGTGGGACGTGAGTAGGGAGTGTGAGCGAGGCAGCTGATCCCCGCAATTTGTTTACTGCACACATTGGCTTTGTGGCTTTTGTTTTGGTACGTTTGCTCAACTCTACACTACTCTACAAATTGTGCTCAGCCGGGTTGTTCTCTTCTCTTCTCTTTTTGCCGCCGCCGCCCGCTCCGCTCCGACTATGCCACCTTCCCACTCCCACTGACACAGTAGTGCGAACAATGTTTGGTGCGAGCGGGCCAAACAGTCCCACTGAGCGCACGCAACTCATGCCGCCCAAGATGGGCGGCTGTTGAAGCGAGATGGTTAGATGAGCACAGCTCTATCCCTCTCTATCTCACTGCCCACACAGCGGCAGAAGCGGCAACGCATTGAAAGAAGTATTTGCGGTGGCGTCTTGTAATTATTGGAGTAGGGGGGAGGCGAACAATGGCTGACAACTACAACTATAACTGAAACTCAACAACAACAAAAGCAACGGGGGCTGTAAAAATCCTCCCAACAACAATGGCCAGGTGAAGAGCATTTAAAATGTAAGCAATTTGGGGATTTGCACGAATCGAATGTTGGGGGAAAAAAAAGGGAGAGTTTGGAAGGCCAAGCAGGCAAGGCAAGACAATTAAATGCTTGGCATGAATTATTTTTCCCTTTTTATAATAACAACAACCATTGGCAGCCAGACTCGCACCACAGCACACAAACTCACGCACGCACACACTAAGTCCACTCTCAAAGAGAGCAAGCAAGAGAGAGAGAGAGACGACTACGACGCTGAGATTGCTTTGTTAGTTATTATTTAATCGCCGAGTGCAATTTTTTTGTTTTACTTTACTCTGATAGCCAGGACTTATTATTTGTGTTTCTGTGTTCAGTGACTGGTGGAACACACAAAAGGGTAACGCAAAAGGGAAGGCACCGTAGCATATACCGTTTAAACACCGCACTCACACAGACACACACGCACTTAGAGTTTGGTTTGTTAGAGCAAATGAAGAGACAGGAATGAGAACTGAAGAAACTAAAATTAAGCTGAAAAATATAGCCAATTGTTTACATTTAATGCTTAGATGCGAGCTGGCAAACTCTGTCGCCTCTTTGTGTGAATTTCAACTGTGGTTAACCGTTTCTTTCGCACAAAAACTTTTAATTCTGCTTTCCACCGTCCAACACGAAGTTTGCCGCTGCTTCTTCTTCGCCGAGTTCTTCCTCTTCCACTTCGAACTGCTACTCGATTCGCATGTATTGCGTGCGTGTGAGTGGTGTGGAGAACGGCGTTGCCGTACCGGGCACAGGTATCGGAACAAACGGCGACGGAATCTTACTGCACCTGACAATTAATAAATAATTTAGGAGCCACAAGCGACGCAACTTGGCTTTGGTTTCCAATTATTCGTAATTTGTATCCAAACACTACGCCAAAGGTGTATGGCAACAAAAAGAAAAACCTGCCGCCTACAAATGCAACGCTGGTCTATCGTGGGAGCGCGAGTGGGACAACACGAGGTCACTCTTGCGCTCCCTTACATACAGCAGATTTAACAAAGCCAGTATCGTTCATTTGTTTTGTTATTCATATCACTGTTTTTACTGTGAACTGCCGATACCGATGCGATTCTTGTGAATTATCAGAATGTGGGAATCCAAGCTGGCCACCCACCGGCCGCTAGATTTCTAGAGTTTAGATTTCGCCAGACTCCACGAGTAGCCAGTGTGGAAGCGAGCAAGAGAAATCGGCGACATCTACATATAGCTTACCCTTTCACACACAGAGCACACACCGCAAACACAGTTCGTTGCTCCTTGCTTCCTTTTTTTTTTGCACTCTTTCTGGCGCTTACTCAGCGCCCGTTCTGTCGCTTGCGAAAACCGAACGAAAACAACAAAAGCTCGACCGAACTCACTGAAATGTTTCCTGTTTGCAGTTAGCTGCGGGTACACGTTTCGCTGGCCTTTGTCTGCCAAACAGCCGCCGCCGGAACCTGTGATTGCAATTCTACTTGGACTTGTATATTTGGTTGGATTTCGTTACGATTTTCGCCCGTTCCGTTTGCTGTGTTGCGCTGGCTGGCTGGCTTTGTCAGCGCACTCGCTCTCGCTCGCTCGCTTGCTTGCTAGCTGACCAACTCTCTTCTCTCCTCTCCGCTCCCTGTCGTCGTCTTTGTCGCTCCCTGCCTCTCGCTCTCGCGCGCGGCAACGGCGCTGTCGTTTTTTGCAAGTGTGTAGATGGGAAATGGTATCGGATCGGTGGAGGCCCCAAAATGCTCGGATACGAAACCCGTTCGAATCACTTTTCGCACGGCTGTATTTTCCGCAGATTTGCACTCACACACACACGCTCTCTTCCGACTGGGGCCCTATTGAACTAGGCAGCTTGTCAATTGGCTTTTAATTATTCGCGGTGCGTTCTTTTCACGTAATACGTAATTGTCATTAGTTTTAAATCGTCATATGTATTATTTTTTTGCCATTTTGCGGCGAGCGTTGCCAGACGAGGTCGCTGTAATCAATCGTTATCGGAGCTGCCACTCTTAACGATAGTGGATCTGACAGGCGTCATCGATAGTTTCAAGATCGATGTGAATGAATACATACACCTATGAAATGTAATTTTAGCAACTCGGAACCGGAAAAGTGTGTTCATCAAGTTTACAAACATAAAAAAATGAAGAATTTGGCAAAAGTTTGTTAAACGGGAAGCAGAAATCAGCTGTGAAAGTACAATCGGTGTGACCAGAGCCCTAGTCTCTTTCGGCTATGTAGCAACAGTGGGACCAGAGCTGAGGAGTAGAACGCTAATTATGTTGTTTACGGCGCAGCAGCTGAAAATCGCATTTTTCTGATTGTGTAGCAAGTCCTCCAAAATGATCTGTCGCCTTTGTCTGCGCTGCCTCAGCCCCGGCAGCGCCGTCTTCCTGTTCGAAACGGACGAGACGCTGGCGGAGACGCGGCTGGTCAAGATGATAGCCAAGTTTCTCCAGTTGGAGGTGGGTGCACTGTGAACAGTCGAGAGCCTTACCCGACTCACCCGTCGTCGTCAACCTTTTCTCAGATCCTGCCCGACGACAGCATCTCGACCAATGTGTGCACCGACTGCTGTGAGCACTTGGAGGACTTCAACGGCTTCTGGCAGCTGGTGGAGCAGAAGCAGTGCTCGCTGAACAAGGAGTTCCTCAACGTTGACGTCGACTGCGTGGCCCTGAAGTGGACGGGTGGCGTGGATGTGGACGTAAACATTGACGAACTGCCGCTGGCGGCGACTGACATGGACGAGAAGCCGCTGGACATGCACAACCTAAGCCTGCTGGGCAGCGTGCTGGATGTGAATGTTGATAGTGTAGAGGTGGCGGCGCAGGCGCCAGTTTCTGTGTCCGTCAAGGAGCAAGATGACTCTGAGGAGGACGAGAAGCCCTACCTAGAGGCCATGCACACGAGTGATAGCGAGCCTGAAGCGCCAGAGGCGCTTCCAGACGCTTCCTCCTCGGACGGTGATGTCCATCTATACCTATATACCTTTCTGCAGCTTATAAAGCTCGTTCCCTTCCAGATGAGCCGCTGGTCCGGCTTCAGAACAAGGGCAAGACGCCGGCCAAGCGCAAGCGCCCTTCCAAGGATCGGGGGAGCGGGATTTCCCTGCACCAGGAGCTCAAGGAGCTGCTCGACGACGGCAGCAAGCGGCGGCGTAGAAAGGCGCCCGACCAGCGAATTGGCAATGATATGCAGGAGACCGAGCTGCAGGCCGTCCTCGAACGCAAGCCTAAGGGATGCTCACGCGCACAGCTGGCTAAGCGGTACGAGGAGGCCATTGCCAGCTATATGAGCGCCAGCTGTGACCTGTGCGACTTCAGCGCCCAGTACCTGTCCGAGCTGAAGACCCATTTCCTGGAGGCTCACCAGCGCGAGTACTACATTAAATGCTGCGGCAAGGTCTTTACACGCGCCTCTAAGCTGATGGACCACATCCGAAAGCATGTCAACCCCAAGCTCTTTACGTGAGTCTGACCTTCTAACCAAAAGGGGCGGCATGTCTATCCATCCATTTATTCTGCTGTCGGTATCCTGTTGCAGCTGTACCATCTGCCAGAAATCGCTCAACTCCCAGGACTACCTAGCCACCCACATCGAGACCGTGCACAACAAAGTCGCCCAGATCGGCAAGGTGCTCAAGTTTCCCTGCCCCAAGTGCGAACGCACCTTCAGCAGCGAGCGCCGTATGGCCAACCACCTGGCCAAGCACGACACCGACCAGTTGGAGCACACCTGCGAGATCTGCTGCAAGAGGTGACTTAGATGAAAGCTTCGGGACTTCATAAATCCCGTTGTGTGTTTGTGCCATCTCTTTCTAATCCGCTTCGATCTCTATATCGCTTTCTGGGGCAGCTTTGCGAATGTACACCGGCTACGAAGGCACATCCAATCCATCCACGAAGACCTGCACCGCCACGTCTGCGACATCTGCGGCAAAAAGTTTAAATTCAAGCCTTCCTTCGAGCGACATCTGCTGGAGCACCAGGGTGTGGTAGCGCCGGCAGTAGAGTGCCCGGTTTGCGGAGTGTGGCTGAAGAATGAGCATAGCCTGCGGTTGCATCGATTCACGCACGACAGCACGGACACAGTGTGTCCGCACTGCGGCAAGACCTGCACCTCGCGGACCGCTCTCCGAGGCCACGTAAAGTACGCCCACAAGTTGACCACCAACCTGCAGTGCACGTACTGCGAGAAGAGCTTTAAGCAGCAGCGCAACCTGGACGAGCACATGGCCATCCACACGGGCCTGCAGCTGTACAACTGCCCGCACTGCCCCAAGGAATGTCGCTCCCGCTCCAATATGTACGTGCACATAAAGCAACGCCACGCGGACGAGTGGTTGCGTGCGAAGATGGCACGCTCGCACAACCCCCAGTTTAAACCGGGATCTGCGGAGGCTCAGTCCTGAGCCCCACCATGTTTTCCCACTTTAGTATACGCCCCTGAAGAGTCCAGTCTAAGCTTCTGTGAGAGATAAGAGCAGAGCACACAAATGTGCTTAACCAATAGATATATACGTAACCTTAACTTGTACTTCTTGCAATTTTTTTTTGGGGTGTAAGGGGTATATCGAATGAATTTGATATGTTTAAATCAATGATGAATTATATTGGGTATGCAGTTTTTAAATCTACTAAAAACTAACATAGAAAATCTTTCCTAATTAAAATTAATGTATTTTTGGATAAGTTACGTTGAATTCAAATTCGTTTCTGCATATATTTCCTAGTTGGTTTTGAAATATATTTTCGGTGGTAATGGGAATAAAACTGTTTCCAAACTCCCACGTCTAACTTCCAAGTTGAAGTCTCCTTGGTGTCCTAATGCCGTCTTCTGGAGACAGGAATAACCAATTTTTGAAGTCCTTAGGAGATTTCGAATTGATTACGGCATATTCAACGCAAAGACATTTGATTATGTAGCTTTATTTAAATATACATTTATGGATATTCTGGGTATAATCCAGAGCGTCAGTTATTTTAGTTGTACTTTTAGTTTATTATTATGGCATTTGATTCTTTGTGAAGAGACGTATTACTGGTTGAGCCGTTTACTGTGCTTGGTCACATGATCTCGAAACAGACCACAATGTCGCCTTTGATTTCCGAACCTGGATAGGGCAGTCCTCCGCCCTTTATATGATGAGTCGATCCCGGTTTGATCACTGAGCCAAAGATGCTGATATTCAGCAAACAGCCCTGAAGAGTCGGCACTTTAATGTCGACGCCATAGAGCGCCTGCATCTGTGAAATCTTCACCTTGAATATAAGGTTGTGGCCTTCACGAATTAGGCTCGGATGTGGTATGTCCCGGACGGTAAACACGATGTTAGCTGGGATGCGATTAAGCACCTGATTTCCTTCCTTGTAGAATACGATCTTTGTGTTGGACGGGCAGCCCGGACAAACATAGATTTGTAGAGTTTTATCCATTATCACAAGGCGTCCGTCAGGCATGATCTCCTGCCTTTGAAACTTCCAAAGCTTTGTGCATCCAGTGGCGATTTGCTCCAATGATACTGGTAAATCGATCATGATGTCCGGATCTTGCAGACGTCGTAGTTTCCTTGAACCCGGTTTTAGCATGGTTTGCAAGGTCTGGTTGGATTGGAAGGTCTGCTCGGGTTGCAAGGTCTGCTCGGATTGCAAGGTCTGCTCGGGTTGCAAGATCTGGTCGTATGCGGCGCGCTGATTTGAATCAGATAGAACCTTATATGCTTGGCCTACAATCTTAAAGATACGTTCTGCGTCCGAGTTCTTATTCTTGTCCGGATGGTAGCGGAGGGCTAGTTGATGGTATGACTTCCTGATTTCATCCTCGGAGGCCCCGCGACCGATGCCCAGTACCTCATAGAAGTTCTTCATCGTATTTTTTTATTCCTCTTGGTTTCTAAGTAATACACGTTTATGGGTAACCATTTTGTAAATAAGAAGTATAAAAAAGCGTATATATTCACTATCGATGCAAATGCAAACATTAAACTGGAAAGATATATAAGAATGGGTTATTTACCTAATAGGCAGATACGGGCACAAGCTGATGTATGAGATTATTTGAAATTAATCACTCTGCGCACTGTGTTTGCATACTTTGCTCTTAGAAGTTAAACTTCCACACGCGACTTCGGACACTGCAGAAGAGGAAATGCAATCGAGCTATCGCAGGAAGCTTGCTGGAAGCCATTTTGGCCATTTTGGCCATTTTGAATCTCCGAAGTTTCACACTTTGGTCTTATCAAACAATTCATGGGATTTCATGTCGCATAATAAACCCCAATTTTACTCTCAGACTACTCAAAACATTTCGAATGGTATTTATTTTATACTATTAAGTGGTGTATAAGCTATTTTGAAGCTTTGATTTTTAGCGACTTGAGCTATTTTGGCGCCGTGATTTTAAATATTCACCATATCGATAGTCTTGGCTAGATGTAGTTTGGTCACCCTAACTCATATCGATAGCCGGACACGACATTCGGTTTGGTGTTATCGCTGTCGACGGCAAACAGTCACACTTATTCACACTTATTCGGAATCCGAAATAAATTCTCTTCTGGATTTTAGTGCAATTAAAAGGCGTAGTTGTGAAAAGAAAGTTTGCAGCAAAGAAAGTGCAGGTGAGTGGCAACATCTACATATCTTTCTGGCCAAGGCCTGTGTCATACGTGCTCCGTGGCCAGCATTTCAAGATGGGAGCTGTGCAAATTTCGCCGGCACCGCGTCAGCCGGCCGCCATTAAAATTTGCCCAGACGGCGTCTCATATATTTTTGGTCGTCTGGCGCAGACAACTACAACTATGAATGGCTTGGTGCTGGCTTGGTAACAGGAGCGGGGAGCTAGTTGCAACCGCTAATACACACACACACACACATGTAGGGAGAGAGCAGGCTTTGAAAGAGCAGTGCAAATGCGAAAGTCATTATGTGTGTGTGTGTGCGTGCAGCATAACAAGTTTGCCTGCAAATTCTCCATCGAGCGAGATAGATAGATGAATGGAGACAGAGAGAGGGAGAAAGAGCGAAGCGTGCTTGCCAGATGCAGGATGCTTCATGTCCGTCTGTCTGCTGATTTTGCGCATACCTGCACAGCAAGCGAGACCCGACTGCGACTCCGACTCGAACTCGAACCCTAACCCAAACCAAGACCCAGAGCAAGGGCAGTTGCAGTTCTTGGCTCGGCTGTCGGCTCTTGGCTCTTGGCTCTCGGTGTTCGGCGCTCATCGGTCGTGGTTCGTTTTTGTGTGTCTACCTCGAGGAAGAAAATTTTCAGCAGAAGCTCCAGCAGCAGTAGCCAGCCGGCCGGCCTGCCTTTCCGGTTTTTCATCTCGCCACACTTGCTCCGCTTGTTCCGCCGTTGCAGTTTCCTCCGCTGAACGCTGACCGCTCAACGCTCATTGCTTGACGCTTGACGAAGATCACCGGCCCCCTTCTCTCGTCCAAATGGTCACCATGGAGAACAGTGACGAGATCCTGCAGATCCTAGAGCGCTTCACTCGTCTGAAGCAGAAAGAGATACCTAAGGAGCTGGAAGACTATCTGCAGTATGTCGCCAAGACGGGCGAAACCATCTTCAAGTGGTCCAGCATCAAGTATCTGTTCCGTGAGAAGTTGCTCAGCGTGATTAAGCACTTTAACGAGGACTCGCCGCGCCTGGAGGGTGAGTTGGCCGCTGGCCGTTGCCATTGCCATTGCCATTGCTATTTACCATAGAGAGTACCACCACTATCTGACTTGTGGCTCTGTGCAGAGATTCCCAACTACCCGAACGTGGATCCCTTCAACTACGAGACGATGAAGTCCTCGTTGCTGGAACGGTTAGACCTTTTCACTGCCGCCCCTTCACCGTGCAGCGGCTTTGCGAGCTACTCATTGATCCGCGCAAGCAATACTCCCGGATCGACAAGTTTATGCGAGCCCTGGAGAAGAATATTCTAGGTAAACTAACTCATTTCCTTATCATCGGCACAAATGATTTGTAATACCCGTACTGACTTATCCTTTATGTACTCTTCCACAGTCGTTAGCACCATTGATCCGGGACGCAAGCGCACCGAGAGCGAGAACGGTGATTCCCTTGATTCAGTTGTGAACGGCGACCTGTCCCTTGAGGTTAACATTGATATAGAAATGGAGAATGAAGCTCTAATTAACAACGGGAACGCCGAGGAGGGCTCTGGTTCAAGTTCAGGCACCAGTTCGGGAGGCGGTGCCGTCAAGGCTAGCTGTCCGCGGTCAGACGACAATGATCTGCCCAAGGCAAAGAAGGCCAAACTGGAAATCGAGGGCGATGATCTTCCGGAGGCCGATCAAGAGGCCGATTCCGAAGTGGCTTCAAAGACCAAGAAGGACGAAGTTAAGATTGACAGCGACGAGACTGATGCCCCACAGGAGGCGGCCGAGATTGAGGAGCCCGACGAGGAGTTGGAAGAGGCGGATGAGTCAAAGACAGCAAAGCAAGCTCTCAATGGCAGCAAGCAGAAGGAGACGGAGGGAAGTGATACTCCCACTTCTGAAACTGCCCAGGACTCACCGATTGCCAAATCTCCCGAGGCTGTAAGCGAGCCACTTACCGCTGCCAAGGAAAAAGCGGAGGAGGTAAGTGAAAAGGAGGCGGCCGGAGAACCGCAGGAGAAGATTATCGAAAAGCAGGAGACCGAAAAGGCCGAAAAGACAGACAAGCCAGTGGAACAATCAATCGAAAAGCCTGCTGACGAGGAGGCTCCAGCAGCCAAGGAAAGCCAAGAGAAGGATACCAAGGTGCACGAGGTGGAAAAAAAGAGAAGGCACAGGAGAAAATCACTTCTCCCCCAACTGGCGATAAGGAGGAAAATGAGAACGAAAAAGCAGATGCCGAGGCTAAGCCTGCATCAGCAGATAAGGCCGCTGACGAGAAAGCTGCTTCAGCTGAATCGAAACCGGAGACCAAGGCCGAGGACAAGCAAGAGCCCGAGGAAAGGAGAGCCAAAATGACGAAAAGACTGAAACTGCGTCTGCTAAGAAGCCGTCGCCGCTGCCAGAGGAGAAGCAAAAGGAAAAGGAAAGGCTGACGAGCCAACCGATAAACCCGAGAGGAAAGAGGACGAAAAGACTGCCAAGGCTGCTGGATCAGGCAAGGAACCAGTAGTGGAGCCAGAGGGAGAGGACTCTTCACCGGTTGCCGAAGAATTGGCCGCCGCCACCACACCGCAATCTCCGGTTAGCGCCGCTGCCGAGTCCGCCGAGACGCCGCCGGCTGAGGCAGTCGATGATGCAGATGCGGATGAGGACTCTCCCGTTGCCGCCGTAACTCCACCGGCCCTGGCCCTTAACGATCAACCCATGGAGGATACACCGGCCGAGGAGGAGCCTCGTGTTTCGCCCTCGGCCGCCGTTGAGGAAGTGGTAATGGCCGAGAGCGGTCCGCCGCCAGCCGCCGAAATGGCCACTGATGAGGCCGACAAGGAGGTCGCCATGGAGGTTGACGACACTAGCCAGGAGGTGATGATCCAATAAGCATAGCCCACTGCATGCATCCGTGCGCCGCATACAACTACATTCAAATACTACTCCATATAACTAGAAACGTAAGACAAGCGCCCCATCCCGCGAGTACCCTAGACGATGTACTCCCTCCTTCGCTACACTACTGATCACACCTCCGGGAAGGAGGCCCCTTCATAGCCGTAAGATGTCGGTCAGGCCGCTAAAGCACTGGACGACTCTGTTAAAAGTTCCATGTTCCATCATACACCATTTGTATTTATGTATTTTAAATGAATTCTATACGACGTGGATGGGTGCTGAAACGAACGGAGCAGCAACGAAAACCGCCAAAACATCGAAATATCAGAAGGCGAATCAAATATGTGTGCCCATCCAGGCTATAGACAAAACCCCCTTTTCCCTACCCGACGAAGGACAAGTCCGCGCATCACCACCACTGTCCCGCTCCTCCTTCCGTTTTTTTTTTTATTAACTATCCTAATAGTAGACGCTGCCCATGGCGCAAGCTCGAGAAGCTGTGAGCGATCGAACACACACACAATAAACACTATCTATACAATAGACCAGGTGATATATAACGTTTGTTGGTGGTGGTTTTTTGTGTATGGGGTTTCCTATTTCAGTTGTTATTTCTCTTTCAGGAAAAGTACGCGTGACCCGGCATCGTTGAATAAACCAAGGTGTCGAAAGTATATTTGGGAAATACAAACTTCACCTTTTATATCAAGATCCGGATGCAGTTCCTTTGGTGAGTACCTAAGTATATTCCCCTTTAATTAGTTTAGTAGTTAACCAAGTGAGAAAGTAGTAGATAGGATAGCTTGATAAGACAGCAATCTTGCAGATACTTGAGCTCAGTCCGAGTCCCAGTCCCAGTCCGAGTCCCAGTCCCAGTCCGAGTCCCAGTCCCAGTCCGAGTGTCCAGTTCCCAGGTGAAAGCCAGGTGGAAGACTCTTTGGTATAGATTGTATAAGTGGTGGATAACAACAGGCAGGCAAACAAACGTACATAAACAGGGAAACTGGCCGGCCAGCAACAGGGCGGGCAAAACAACAAACAGGTCGTAATCAAGCTTAGGAAACTAGTTCAAATTGGATTTGATAACGTGTGAAGCCAATGGGGATTCCAGCTAGGGACGGCCCTGCAACTTCTTGGCCGCCGGACTCCACAGCCGGAGCGAACGCGTGGATCATCCGCCTCCATTTCCGTTCCGATCCGATATCATCATTCATCAACATCATCAACAACATCAACAGCAGCTGCTCCTCTCTCTCCACTCCGTTCCGCTTCGGCTTCCGCTTCCGCTTCCCCAAAAATCGACCGGAATCGGTCGACGCTCGCTCCGGATGATATGGCCAGGAGCCGGAATGGGCCGGGCCGGGGCCGGGGCTGGAATACCGGCTAGCCCAGCAACACCTTGCGCATCATGAAGCCGCTGCTCGCATTGCTAGTGCTTGCCGCCGGTACTGATCCGCGTGCCGGCTGCTCCGGTTCGATGCATTTGGAGGAGCAGAGGTACTGCAGCAGTGGCACACGGTATTTACCGCAAAAGTCCACAAACTTGATGTGCTCCACACGATTGTCGAAAAAGACACCCCTACAGTTGGGATTCACACAACAGTTGGCGCTATTTAGATACTCGACCAGTGTCCTTGGTATGTCATAGGGTCCAGGTCGCTGACCACTGGCCTTCACCATGCGTCCGGCCAGTTCCAACAAAGTTGGTGGCTTCAAAGCCATGTCCTGGACGAAGCGCACCACCAGTGGATTGTCGCGCAGACTCAACTGTGGAAGGGATTAGATAGTGTGAGAAATATAGAGTTTAGAAATGGAAGAACGAAACCTCTTCATGAAAGTGAAATGAGTTCTTACCTCGGTCAGGTTCTTCAGCGCCACAATGTCCTTGGGCAGATGCCTCATCCGGTTCTTGTGGAGCAGCAGCGACTTGAGGTTTTTCAGCCGGGCAATGCTCGTCGGCAGGATCTCGATCAGGTTGTCGCAGAGCACCAAAGCCTGCAGCTGGCTAAGGGAACCCACTGCTTCCGGAACCTCGCTGATCAGGTTTCCGCCCAGGGACAGAACATGCAGGCTGCAAGGAAAGGAAAGGAACGGAAATGGAAGTGAGTTAAAGAGTTAAACTTTTGATTTAGTTGACAGATAAATATCTAGGGTATTAGAGATTATTATGCTTATTATTATTTGCTTAAAATTATGTTGCTGATTTAGTTTTTAAACTCATGTTCATGTTAAACTCGGTTTCTCATGAAATATAAATTATTTGAATATATGGAGCAAGTACCAAACAAATTCAGCTTTAAGGCATAACCCTTTAAACAAATTCTGTAAAATTAAAAAATTTTTTGAATAGATTATTATAAATTAATTAAATTGTTACAGGTTAATTGAAATATAGTATATGACCTTTGGAAATCCGTTTTTTTTTTGGTAACTTGTTCGACCTTTGTTCTTGGAAAATAATAAATAATTAAACATTTACGTTTCTATATTTTTAAATAAATGCTAACATAATTTTAAAACAATTTTAGATGATCAAAATGTATAATATGATAATTATAATCAAGGTTTAACTTGAGCAGTTTTATAGAAAAAGAGAGAGTGCTTAAAGACTTGTTCGAATAGGTTTTGTTGCGGAAGCTATGTTGTCAGTTTAGCTTTTCTTAAGCTGCTAGTAAAAAATATATTTTAAAAACTAGTTAAGTTTTAGTTTTCAGATTAAGAAATTGGAAATTTCACAATGTAACATATATATTACAAGATCTTAGCTAAGGTTGGGTTTTCTGACATGGGTTTTAATTCCTTTACTGCAACCCCTCTCTAAACTAAACTATGGGGTTTACTAGGCCATTATATTATGAAGTTTTTATTATTATTATTGTTATATATTTTATTTAATCCCTGAATCATCTGCTTATATCATGGCTCATGACAGCTTTACCCTTTACGGGGTTTTGGCTCTAAGCTTTTAGCCCGAGGGCCAGGTCCTCTTCACATCAAGTGCTGGAGCAATCAATTCCCCCGTAGACGTTGCAAAGTCCGACCCTCTGATAACTAATGCCAATTTGAATTTTTTAATTTGTTTTCAACTGATATTTGTATTTTTTTTGCAACCTTTTTTTTATTTCTCTCTTGTTTGTGACATTTGTTGTTCTTTGTTTATTATTATATTAATACACGGGCCTGGGTCCGTATCTTTATGGGCCGACCAAATCGGTTGGGTCGATTCGAGTACGTGTTTTCGATAGATTTGGCTTTTACGACGCCCAGCACCACCACCCGACCGATCCATCGATCCGCCGAGTGGCAGGGCATCGTTATCAGCTCAGTGGCTATATATTACGATCGCGTCTGTGCTTGGACTTTTATACATGGCAACAGTGCTCGGCGGCGCTCGTGCTCCACGAGTGGCCAATGTCAAGCGGCAAGGGGAAAGTGCGGCAAGCGGCAAGTCCACTTGGAGAAAAATATAGGGAGAGATTTCACAACCTAAATAGATACAGAGAAGACTCTACCTAATTGTTATTTGAGGGTGTTAGAAAAGAGTTACATTTTGGTAAAGACTGAGGGGTTTTTATAATCGATCTTTAGGGTTTAATGTGATATTTCCCAAGTTTCAATTCTGAGACAATTTTGTAGGCTCTACAAATTATAATTTTCACTTTTAAAGACTTCAATTTACCTAGAAAAGTTTGAATTTTTATTTATTTTGGTAACTAAAAATATTTCAAATGCGGAAAACAAAAATCGTCAACTGTTTCTCACCGTGTTTGGAATAACCCGAGACACACAAAACACTTGAGCAAACAACGCGCGAGAGGCCAGAGATCAGATCGATCTCTGGATCACTGAATCTATCGATTCATTAGGGGTTACTTACCTTTGCATCTTCCAAATATCCTTTGAAATGCTCGAGATCTTGTTGCCGCCAACATAAAGATACTTCAGTTGACGCAGCTCGGTGACCTGTTCGGGGAAGTGGGTCAGCTGGTTACCGCTTAGATTGAGCTCCTTGAGCGTGGATCCACCTCCATTGTTGGCCAGCTTGGAGAGCAGCGACTTGGGCAGCGAACTATTGGTCAGCAGGTTGTTCTTGGCAATCAGGGTGACCAGCGGCAGCTGGCATACAGCATCCGGCAGCGAGGTGATGGCATTGGAGCTCAAATCGAGGACTTTCAAGTTGGCAAATTGCTGCAACAACCGTGGCAGACCCACCAACCTATTATGGTTCAGGAGCATGGTCTCAATATCCCCACTGGCCTTAAGCAAACCCTTTTGCGGCGAGCTGAGATGATCCTCCAGAGTGATGAGATCCAGACTCATGCGGCCAAAGTCCAGGGTCTTTTGCTCCCGCGAATCTGTGTCCGAGCTGTCCGATGTGTAGACCTCCATGATTGGGCGCTGTGTGATCCTTCTACTTGATGCTGATGCCAGATGCAGTTGCTCCGGTTTGCTGTGGATGCTCACTTGATGGCGCGATCGCTTTGTTTACCACTGCCGTTGGGTCAGATCGATGGATCGCTCGCTCGTTCGCTCACTTACAAAACAACAAAAAAAATTAACGCAAACGCTAAGACAAAACGCGAACGAAAACAAAAACAGATGCTGGAAGCTTGAATGCTTTGGTTGCGTGAATATGCCAGAGAATATAATGGTGGAACCGTCGCGACTTGACGCTTGCTCTGTTCAGCTCGCCCAGCCCAAATGCCAGCGGTTCGCTTTCGCGGCGGCTGCTTTACTGATCACCAAGCGGAGACGACTATCAGCTCTGGACGATCGAATCTTCGGCCTGAGGCCCCTCAATCACTCCAACGACGACTAGATCGGGTTCTCTCTCTCTGGGTTCTTCTCTGCTCCACTCTCTCTTGGCTCTGCTTGTCTGGCCGCGCACGAGGCGTATGCGTAATGCCTGATTTCGATTCTGATTCGGCTACCATTTGGTAGTACTTGGCACTGGGCCAAAGGTACTCGACTCCGCGTGGGTGGGCCAAACAGTTGGCCAGGCCATGCTAGCTGGTGAGGTGACGCTTATCGGGCTCAGGAACCCAAAAGAAGAAATCCATTGGATTTGAGAGCATATATACTTTTGCACCATTATCATTTATTTGACATTAATTATTTTATTGAATTTATTTATGACCTCCACTTGGATGGCGGCTTCACAATTATAATATAACAATATAAAATATTGAGAGTACACCAAGTGGAGGGGACTAGAGGGGTCCTTTTGTTGTGACGTCGAAGACCTGGCCTGGTGGCTATCTGAGTTTGTGTCACAAACATAATGCCGGGGAACTCTGAGGCATTTGTTTATAAAAAATTGAAATGGAACTTGGGGGGATTTTATCATTTATAATTTAATTAGGGTTTTTAACTTTATAACCTTCTTGTTTAAGATTCACTAACTGGACTGGAATTCTGATTTTAAAGTATTGTTTATAGCAGATATTTAGATATCTACAATATGTAGATAGGTTATCTTTTTTAATGGGGAATATCTATTACTTATCTTGTCAGTTGTGTGGGCCAAATAATTGATGATAAATAATGTGGAAATTTATTAATTGATTACTTGGAGAGCTTAGGGAGTTATGTACAAATAATAAAACATTTCAATAGAAATGTGTTTGAATTGGAAACGTACTTTCCCTTTATACAATTTTATTGAAGAAATTAATATGATAGTTGTAATAAAGGATTTATGTGGATAGAACCTTGTTCCTTTTATTATTTTTAGTGAGACAAGTTTGAAACTTATATTTATTGTAATTATATGTTATATTTCATTGAATTAAAATTACCATGATTAAATGTCCCTTTAAATGATATATTGATGCTTTTAGATAATATAAATATTCCTTTTAAATCATCAATTTCTTTACTATTAAATAACCAATTACTTTAAATCTCTAATGAGCTATTCTTATATTGCATAAACTTTTCATTAAAATTAACCATATCCGGTGCCAAAAGATAGCACTTATTCCAAATTAATCATAGGTCGCTCGGAAAAGTTCGACAAACTTTTCAACTGCCTCAATGTTTGCACCGATTGACTGGATCGAATCGGATCGAAGCAAATCAATTGACCACACGAGCGCCGGCTCTGCGTCGACTTGAATTTGTTTCATTTTTTTTTATGACGGCGACGGCCTGTCAACCGACCTACCAAACCCCTCCCACTTGCCATGGCTCCGGTTGGGACTTGTGCGAAAGTTATCGAACAGCCCACTTGATCCGTGCAATAATCAATATATATTTTTTTTACTCTCGACAATCTTTTGTTTTTACTGCCCCGCCGCCTGACTTTCTGTACTTAGAAGCGTCTAATCAAAATACACACACAACGGGGACGCCTCCTTTCCATAGGCTACCAGGCACTTGAAAAAAAATATATTACTGGGAGGGTTGATCCTTACTATAAAATATCACAATTTATTATTGTTTATTTCTTGGAAAACTATTTTATGATTGTTTTTATTTTGTGGAAACTCTATGCACAGAGACAAAATAATTAACATTAACGTGTGTATTAAATTATATAGCTACTATAGGAACAATTGCTTAATTAAATGAGAAGGTTATATCTTGGCGTTTTTATACTCTTTCAGGGTATTATAATTTTTGTTAGAAGCTTGTAACTTATGAAGGCTCTATATAAATCATATATGTTCTTGATCAGCATCAACAGGCGAATCTTTTAAGCCATCTCCGGCCGAAAAGAAATTTTTTCAGAAATTTCCCATTTTTCGGAAAAAAGGAAAGGGGTTACATCATGAAATTTTTCAAAAATCGGCAAAAAATTCACTTTTTAAATGGAGTATGCAGTTTTATTAACCTGCTAAAAATTAGCATACTGCCGCTTTCCGAATTGAAATTAATGCGTTTTTGGCTTAGTTATGAGATTTTTAAATTTTGATTTGTCGAAAAATTGCATATAAAAATATTGTTAATATCGGTTTAAAAATGGGAATGGGCCTTCAGTCAGAAGCTTAAAAGAAAGTGAAGGAGTCATTTCCGACCCTATAAAGCATATATATTCTTGATCAGCATCAACAGGCGAATCTGTTAAGCCATCTCCGGCCGAAAACAAATTTTTTCAGAAATTTCCCATTTTTCGGAAAAAAGGAAAGGGGTTACATCATGAAATTTTTCAAGAATCGGCCAAAAATTCACTTTTTAAATGGAGTATGCAGTTTTATTAACCTGCTGAAAATTAGCATACTGCTTTCCGAATTGAAATTAATGCGTTTTTGGCTTAGTTATGAGATTTTTAAATTTTGATTTGTCGAAAAATTGCATATAAAAATATTGTTAATATCGGTTTAAAAATGGGAATGGGCCTTCAGTCAGAAGCTTAAAAGAAAGTGAAGGAGTCATTTCCGACCCTATAAAGCATATATATTCTTGATCAGCATCAACAGGCGAATCTGTTAAGCCATCTCCGGCCGAAAACAAATTTTTTCAGAAATTTCCCATTTTTCGGAAAAAAGGAAAGGGGTTACATCATGAAATTTTTCAAAAATCGGCAAAAAATTCACTTTTTAAATGGAGTATGCAGTTTTATTAACCTGCTAAAAATTAGCATACTGCCGCTTTCCGAATTGAAATTAATGCGTTTTTGGCTTAGTTATGAGATTTTTAAATTTTGATTTGATTTCGAAAAATTGCATATAAAAATATTGTTAATATCGGTTTAAAAATGGGAATGGGCCTTCAGTCAGAAGCTTAAAAGAAAGTGAAGGAGCCATTTCCGACCCCATAGATCATATATATTCTTGATCAGCATCTACAGGGCTTTCTTTCTAGCTTTATCCGGCCGAAAAAAATTTTTTATCAGTAATTTCCCATTTTTCGGAAAAAAGGAAAGGGGTTACATCATGAAAATTTTCAAAAATCGGCAAAAAATACCCGTTTTAAATGGAGTATGCAGTTTTATTAACCTGCTAAAAATTAGCATACTGCCGCTTTCCGAATTGAAATTAATGCGTTTTTGGCTTAGTTATGAGATTTTTAAAATTTGATTTGTCGAATTTCAAATAAAAATATTGTTTAATATCGGTACAAAAATGGTAATGGGCCTTCAGTCAGAAGCTTAAAAGAAAGTGAAGGAGTCATTTCCGACCCTATAAATCATATATATTCTTTATCAGCATCTACAGGGCTTTCTTTCTAGCTTTATCCGGCCGAAAAAAAACTTTTTCAGAAATTTCCCATTTTTCGGAAAAAAGGAAAGGGGTTACATCATGAAAATTTGCAAAAATCGGCAAAAAATACCCGTTTTAAATGGAGTATGCAGTTTTATTAACCTGCTAAAAATTAGCATACTGCCGCTTTCCGAATTGAAATTAATGCGTTTTTGGCTTAGTTATGAGGTTTTTAAAATTTGATTTGTCGAAAAATTTCAAATAAAAATATTGTTAATATCGGTTTAAAAATGGGAATGGGCCTTCAGTCAGAAGCTTAAAAGAAAGTGAAGGAGTCATTTCCGACCCTATAAAGCATATATATTCTTGATCAGCATCAACAGGCGAATCTTTTAAGCCATCTCCGGCCGAAAACAAATTTTTTCAGAAATTTCCCATTTTTCGGAAAAAAGGAAAGGGGTTACATCATGAAATTTTTCAAAAATCGGCAAAAAATTCACTTTTTAAATGGAGTATGCAGTTTTATTAACCTGCTAAAAATTAGCATACTGCCGCTTTCCGAATTGAAATTAATGCGTTTTTGGCTTAGTTATGAGATTTTTAAATTTTGATTTGATTTCGAAAAATTGCATATAAAAATATTGTTAATATCGGTTTAAAAATGGGAATGGGCCTTCAGTCAGAAGCTTAAAAGAAAGTGAAGGAGTCATTTCCGATCCTATAAATCTATATATATTCTTAATCAGCATTAACAGGTAGATCTTTTTGGCTATCTTCGGAAATTTTCAATTTTTTTTTTTAAAAGAAAGGGGTTACATCATTAAAATTTTCAAAAATCGGCGATAATTTGTTTTTTTTTTGTTTTTAATTTTAAATGAAGTATTCATTTTTTCGCACGGGGGATTTTGAGTTGGTACTATTTGGGCGTGCAAATAATTGTTTATAATCGTGTGATAGGACCCCGGGTTGTTGCCTGTCGCTGTCGCCGTGTCGCGCCGATAAGGACACACTCAAAATATCAAAAATATAAATCGATAGCGATGGCGATCGCCTTTGACCAGCCAAAGCTATCTATTTTATAATTAAACCAAAAATTTATAGCTTGCTCAAATTCCAATCTGTATCAATTTACAACTGTTGTACGATAACCAAGCAAAGGAAAAGTTTCAAAAAATTAATAAATACAATCAAAGCCAAGACGTAGTCAATTGAAAATAGTAAACAAATATCAATAAGTTATATTAATAATAATATAAATCTATTTATCACAAGTTAACCTTGATTTTGTATATATTTGAAGATAATTTGATTAGAAAAGCTACTTTTGGGTCATTGACGAGAGATATGACAAAGTCTTTGGGTTAGACATATCATTATGACTTTTAGAAATTGAAATAAATATGGTATATATAAATATAAACATTATGATAAGGTTCTATTTAGAAGGTAAAGAATAGCAATAATATCATTATTAATTTTTCTCTGTGCAGACTTGATGGCGTTTTCGGTGCGTTTTTGCACACGTTGCGAATCTTTAAGTTCAGTCAATCTGTCTGTTTGTCCGTCCGTCTGTCCGTCTGTCCGGGAGTCGTCATCTCCGTGCAAGTGTGTGGTCCTTATCGCACCAAATTTGAATTTCCATCAAAACAAAGCACAAGTAGCAGGCAATAGTTCGTTCTACTATATACCAGATTAACTTGCGACATTTGATTCGGCTATTTTTGCAAAGTCTTTTTAGAAGAGCGAGGGGGATCTCTCGTGAGAGAGAAACGTTTCTCAAAGGCGACAATATATTGTATATATATATTGTATTCATTATGAAGCCAGCCAATCTGGACTGCAAATCTTACACCGTCCATTATCGTCATCTGTCGCGACTTAAATAGTAAGTAGTCAGTCCCCAGATGGCGACTCGATTCGGCCTGAACCCCACCCGGGGCGATAGCCTCCGGCTCCCGTCTGATCTCTCCTCCCCCCGCCCTACTAAAGTGAAAACATTTCACCAATTATTTTGAGATTGGAGCGTGCACAGCTTTATTTCATAATAATTTCATCAATATAGACGATGCTGTCGTCAATTCATCTTTTAATCAGAATATTTCGCCTCAAAGTATGTGGTAGTTTCATGTATAGAAGTCATTAGGAGAGGCCTACTTTTAGGTAGCCTTAGAGGGATACACTATAATAACAATATATAATAATATAGTTCAATTCCTCGAACCCCTTTCAATATATCCTTTAATCTCTAAAGTATTTTTGAAATCAAAGTTAAAAAATAATAGCAATCTTTATTTTGTTTATTTTTATACATTTTACGAGTTCCATAAATCCGATTGAGAAAGCTATCAAGATCGACGACAGGTATAATTTATCTGTGGGACAACACTTGAGTTGAAAATCAAGTGGCTGGGGCTTTTGCCGTTCAGGAATTATTATTTTATGGCTAATTTATAGACAGTATAAGTGCCTTTGCAAGTGGTAACTATAGTATTGGTCTTTGTGCAATGGTTTATGTTATCTAAAAGTCAGAAATTAATACTCGAGCTTGTTTTTATACCCCGTGGTTGGCATAGGGTACTAGGGTATGATAACTTGGGGTTGAATATGTCATACTTGCTTAGTATTTACCAGGGAAAGTGATTCGTTAAGCTTTGGGGGAGCCACTATACAGGTGGATAAATCGGAATGATAATAATTATTAGGCAGAATAAGAAAAAACATACATAGTTTGTTGTTGCAGTCTCTTGAGAGCAGCGTCGATTTACAAGAATACGGAAAGCTAAGCCTTTCCATGTCAAAAAAATGTATTAATCATTAAAACATCATATGCCGTCCTCCTGGGAGTTGTGGGTTGGTTTTACATCATGAATCCAGCTCCCATTCTTCGCACCATGGTACTGGGTAATCCTCAGTCGAGCCTTAGCTTCTCTCCTGGTTGCTATACATTATTATTTTTCACAACACGACGTGCCTTTCGGTTGGTTCAATTTATGTGATTCACTCGCAGGAAGTAATAGCGGTCACACAGTGGAGTTCGTCATAATTTAAACTTAAAGGGGTTTTCCCATTTCAAAAAATTTTGGACTTTTATCTTGGTTATTTATTTATTTGTTTGCTATTTGGATTACGTGTCACATATTTTACAAAGTATACAAAAAAAAAAAAATAGATGTATGCATGTATGGATATATCGAGGGCTGGATAGCAGTGTTTTTTACTTGTACATAAATATTAAAATGTAATGGTTAATATTTTAATATAATATGGTTTAGCTTCTTCCGTTTTGAAACAAACACGAAACCCATTCACACACATTCACTCCTAAATGCCTTTTTTTGTGTGGTTCTGATGGTCCTCACGATTCGCTGGATCGATGGATCGCTGATTGAATGATTGATTGATTGTTGCTGTGATTTGTTGGTTGAACTGAGCTTTTGGTCTCCAGAAGTGGCTAACGCCTCTCTATATGTATGTGAATTTCTTCACTTCCGTTTCCGCTTCCTTTGTGCAGACATCTCTCTCTACTCGCTAGGTGTTTATATATCGTATATATCGTGTGTGTATATATGTATTATTCGCATAGTATATTTATTAGCATTAAAAAAAAATATAGGGGGGTTCCGACCCCATTAGGGGTTCGAAACAAAAAAAAACCACGTCGCTTAACTCAATACTGATGTTTAGTACACATTAGATGTTTTCTAATTAGCATTAATTAGCTTTACTTACAGGCTACTAAGTATATTTTAATGTAATAATAATAAATTATTAATCAAATATGCTTGGTTGTTAGTGAGCAAGTAGGGCAGGGCAGGGGCTCTCTTTCTCTCTCTTTGTGTGTGTGTGGGGGGGTTGGGGTGTGTGTGTGTGTGTGTGACTCAATGATGAGCTGTGGGCCAGGCGATCTTGGCATCAATCCGCTTGTACGCCAGCATGCAATGCTTCCCCTTGGCAGCCAAACGGGCATCCTGTGGACACTCGGCATCCGTCAGTAGGGTCTCCTCACCATCGACAAGTTTGAAGAGGGCATAGTCCTGTGGGTTCGTTATCCTCGCCTTATGCGCTATAATGCGGCACACCTCACGCGTCGTTGTGTGCGGTCGCACCGGCAGTGTACGCGTCTGTAGGGATCCGTTGCATTCATCGGGTATGATGACACGCAGCACGCTGGAGCAGGCGGGCAGGCAGCTGGATCGCCACTGCATGGTTAGAGGGATATACATATTAATATCTGAACAATATAAAGCATTTAAAGCTGGGAATTCCACTGGCAGGAGATTAGATAGAACTACAAATATACTTTATACTGCGTGTTCTTGAAGCTTTTAGTTTCCTCTTCATTTCAAGCGTTTAGCATGATTTACATATCTTGAAAAAGTCTACTATACTGTCTATGAATACTGGTTTGGGCCATCAAAATTAGCCACAAATCGTACGAAACTAAATTGAAGAGGCAATCTATATAACATTTTTTTGTTTATTATGTATTCCAAGTCTATATTTCAGCGTCAAGTCTCTAAGTGGCTAATATTTCTTCTTATTTTAGTAGTTTCCTTAATAAACATAATCTTAATTAAACTATCAGTTTAGCTCTCCTGCCAATAGAACCCTCGATTTCTCATTTAGTGATGCTACTTACGTCCAGGGATCCACTGCCGCTCTCTCCCTCCGAGGCCATAAATGTTTTCAGCACCTGAACGGCGCTACAGAGGGCGGTGAGGTAGTAGCCTGGCTCTCCGTTGAGCAGCGTTGGTTGCAACAGGCCCCACATGAATTCCGCCTCGATTTCGGCTCCTACAAAGCCACACTTGGCCACAACATAGACCAGGACAGGCAGGAAGTCATCGGCGCCCAGCTGCTGGCCACGCGGGCAGCCGGTGGCATCGAATACCGTCGAAATGACGCATAGGAAGAGCTCTAGCTTGTCCAGGGGCAGTTCGGCTTCTTGGAGGCGCAGCAACAGGTTGGAGATCAGACGCAGGGCGGCATGGGAGGGCGGTGTTACCGTGGGACGTATGCCAAAATCGGCTGCCTCCCGGTCGCAGGCATAGCGTACATTCTGGGCCAAAAGCTGAATGTCCTCGCTGCGCTGATAGTGATCCACAAAGATCCCATATAGATGCTCTCGGAGCGGTAGCACCACCAGTTGATGCATCACCGTCTCCAGCATGCTGTCCAGGTTGAGGAATTCGTCCGCCTTGAGGCGTGCCCTCGCCGACTCCAACTCGGCATGGAACTTGCCCTCGCCATGCTTCACCAGGTAGTTCTTCATGCCGCTCATAAATTGCCGCATATTACGCATCACCACCTGGGGTGCCGCCTCGCGGGACTCCTTGGTGCAGCAGATAAAGTTCTCAATGTTGCGGGCAAAGGTGGAGCTAGGATCCTGGGCCAGCTGGAGGGTGTAGGCTCGCAGGGAGTCGCCGGGGCCGCTGCTCTGGATATTCATCTTGTTGCGGGGGTGACCTAGAAAAAGTAAAAGATATAAGAATTAGATACAGGTATTTTCTGAAGTATTCAACTTTTATATGCTCTCTCGTGGCTCACATACCCGCCCAACGGACCAAGAGGCACTGACTCATATCAGCTAGCACGTTTGGAAGTATACAAGTTAATGGGAGATAAGGCAATGTGGTTTACTACTAGGCTAAGATTGATGTTTTCGGTGTATATTGGGTTTCAGGATAGATAACTTAAGGGGAATGAAAATATAGTAAGCTAGGATAAGTTCTAGTTCTGTAAATCTTCTGAGCCATCACAAGCTCTTCAAAGGACCTTGAAAAGACTCAGACCTCTGATGAGCTCAAAGATAAAATCAATATTCGAATCTCAAGTGACCTATTTAAGGCCCGACTTTGAAAAATGCAATTAGTTTCTTACAGAGACTCCACCCAAGGAGTTTTAGCTCCTAAAGGTTCCGTCTTCTTTCTTTAGAACTATTCCAAATCCCTATCCTTTCGGATTCAAGTTCTCCAATCCTTACCAGCTAGTAATTCACACAGCAATCGTAGCAAGCGGCGCAGGGCATAGCAGCAGCCCCGACTCCTGCAAAAGTCCTCATCGGCACACTCACAGCCACGTCGATAGCGTCGATAGAGACGACGACTCTGTGCCTGTAGGCAAAGGCCCAAGGCCTGACATTCCACGATGTGCGTCATATTCAGCAGAATGTTTCCCTGTTCGTCCAGGTGAAAGAACTGTTTGATGTCATAGTGATCACAGGTGTTCAGCTCACCAGGATGGACCTTGTCCGGCTCGCTGCTGGCCAGCAAGGATTCCTCCCCGGCGGGGCACTTGCCAATGGCGCCCATTATGGAGCCGGCAAGGGCCTCAGTCTTCAGTTGTTTTCGATTGATGCGACAGTCTTTGAGCACCTGTTGCGGACAGGTGGACGCCGGCGCCGGAATAGGTGACGACGTCAACAGGCTACGGGTACAAGTAGAACCGATGCTGGACAGGCTACTGCTCACAGCCGATTTCCTTGATTTCTTGCAGAGCACTGTCGAGGTAGGAGACGGCGGAGCCCGCTCACTGGGCAGGGCAATGCCCGTCTGTATGTTGTCCACGAATAGCAGTTCCAGGAACTTGCGTTTACGCTGGGGCTTTGCCCTCGGCTGAGTCTTGGTCTTCTCTTCGGGTTCATATTCCTCCTGCAATTGCTCCTTTAAAGCTTCATCATCAGCAGCAGCATTATGATCATGCTCATCTAGCCGAGCTGCCGGCAATTGTGTCCTTTGCTGCAGCAGCTCCTCCTCAAAGTCCGCTGAGAAATAGTTGGACTGCAGCGGATGCTCGATAATCTCCCATTCGGACATAATGCTGAGGAATTGTGCCTCCTCACGATAGTGCCTCACATGGTCCGGATCGTGAAAGAACTCCTCCGGTTCCAGTCGCTCGATGCGCTCTTCGTCCAGACTGCTTAGCGACTTGGACATGTCCAAAGGCAGGGGTGAATCCGATGGGGAATCGTTGGGTGACTGCGGGCGGCTCACGGACGGTGCACGCGACGATCTTCTGAACCAACTCATGGTAGATCCGGTAGCGATTCTTGCCAGCTAAAACGAATTGGCGGAAACGCAGGTTTCTCATCGGCACACGCGACGGCGGCGGATTGATAAGCGATGGCTATGGAGGGCACTAGCTCTCTCTCTCTGACTCTCTTTTCTGCCCGATGGCTTCGACAGCTGCCTCCTCGAGCGGGTGATGCTCTAAACGCGGCCAATGCAAAACTAATTCTGAACTTCATACGCATTAGTTTATAAGACTATCGCATCGCAGCTGCGTCGCTGCCGGCGAACAAAGATAGCAACGGCGGCGGCAGCGGCGGCGACGACGTCGCTGCAAAATGTGTCAACCCGCCGATGGGCGACCTCATTTGCCTGGCCTCCCCGCTATCCGCAGCCTCTGTCTGGGCCGCAGGGTTATGTCTTTTAGTTCAGGTAGCACCTAATATCCTTTATATTTTTGGTATAATTATCCTGGGGAATTTCCGGAATTTTGCGAGCAGGTACAGTTGCGCAAATCGGACTGACTCGACTACGAATCTGGTCTGCCTTCTTCCAGGTCTGACTTTGGTCTGTGCCTTGGCTTCGGGCAGGTACTTGATAAAAGCAAGTACGGCTTTGTTGAAAGTAACTATACCTGTAGAGCTGCACTGATTCATTGGCACTCTGTCTGTGTGCCGCACTGCATAATCGACAGTCAATGGCGGGGAACAGAACAAGTGTGAAAACCAATTACCAGGCAAACATGCCATCGGAAAATGCAATTTGTGGTTAATTACAGTTCCAGATGGTTTGGGTTTTAGTCCAGGTAATAGCTATAATATCTATGGATCATATTATGCTTAGGATGTATAACGCCACCCACACAAAATGTGTAACTTCTCTATCATAAGAAGCGCAATGCAAGTGTATCTTAGAGGATAAAAGATACATCTTCAAGATTCTTTTAAGAATTTTTCTAATAAAGTTATCCAGTAACTACTAGGGATTGCTCTATATATTGCCTAACCCTAGTTATAACTATAACTCCCATAAGGAACTATTTATCGGCTAGTTTTTAATAAAGAAATATGCCAAGAATTATTGTAAATCTTGCATATTTATCTAACTTTTCGTTCTTGAAATTTATAGAGCAAGGCTTTTGAAATAAGCATTAATTAAACAAGGGAAAATGGTTTACAAATCCCATGAAATCCCGACAAGGCTACACAATTGAACAATCATTCTTCAGTAATCCTATCCAACATTTCAAGTTCACCAATATTAAAGACATCTGATCTCATCCAGAGTTCATTCTGTGAGCCGCTTTTAGCTGGCTTTAAGTTGGATCCTCATGTTAATGTTTGGACTTTATGAATGGATGACGGTTCCGTCTCTGGTTCCTCCATCTCTGCGCTTCTAATCCTCTATCTCTGCACAGGCTTATCAACAGACACGCTGGCTAGCCCGACCAGTAAGTGCTGCTGCTTCTGTCCGGACTCCCGACTCCGTCCGGGTTGTTCTCGTGCAATGCCACGTTCGGATTGCATCAGCATCTCTAGCCCGGCTTGGCCTGGGACTTGGATCCGATGCGCAATTCGGAAAAACCTCCGGTGGCGGTATAAATGGAGGTTTCCAGGTTAGGGTTCAGGGTTGCAGCTCCGCTTGCTCACTCGCTTGACTCTTCCTTGTTCGCCGCTCGAGGCTCTCGGATTGATGCGGCTCGAACACGTGCAGCTCTTGCACCGGGATCACTGAACCCTTACCTAACCAGGGATTTAGAGGGGATCTTAACGATATGGGTGTAGACCAGAAATTTCCCCAGAGATTTGGCTTATCAATCTGCCGGGTCCAATGGGTTTATTAACTTTTACAAGGCCCGAGCAGGTAAACAATTCTGTTGGCAGTTGACAAAACAGGCCAGAGCACGTGAAATTTGGGATGGACCAAAATTACACGGGTAAAGGGTACTTCATTGGGAGAATTTCTGATAGAATTACTTATTAAGTAGTATAATTTCTATTTAGTTTAGGATCCAAATGCTGCAGTCAGAAGCTTAAAACTAAGTGAAGGAGTCATTTTCGACCCAGTAATTCATATATATTCTTGATGAGCATTATAAGGCGAAACTTTCTAGCCATCTCCAGCAGAACAAAAAATTTTTCCGAAATTTGCACTTTTTTTTTAAAAAAGGAAAGGGGTTACATCGTTCAAATTTGCAAAAATTTGAATTTTCTACCATTTTAAATTGAGTATGCAGATTTATAGATCTACTAAAAACTAACATAGGAACGCTTTCCGATTTAAAATTAATGCATTTTTGACATAGTTATGAGTTTTTTAAAAAGTTGATTTATGGCAAAAATTGTCATTTACAAACCTAGATAAATATTGGCTCAAAGAATGAGAATATTTCTGATTCTAATCTATAAAATTTAAATTTAAATCTTGTAAATGCTTATGGTACAGTAAATGCAAACTCATGTAAGGCAACTTAATCTAAATAATATAATTCTTTATTATTAAATTCCCCTAAAATGGAAATTTGATATCCCTAAAAAGATCCCAAGGCAATGGAAACTGATTGAGCTTGAGTTTAGTTTGGGCTTCATCTCGATCTTCAATTAGATTCATATTTACTTCTGTGGTCTTTTAATCCGCTCACTGGGGTACCATTTATTAGGCGGAAAATATCAAGAACGTGTGAATTGGGATGCACCTCAAAGGCGTTGGTGTTCCCAGAACCATTTCGAGTGCATTTTTGAGGCGTCTCACCGAGCACTGAAATAGCAATGCCTCTGTGTTTGGCTTTCATCAGATGGCCTTTGTTGTCTGATCGGACGCGGTGTTTGTCTTTGCCCACAGAGTGACCCAAAAATAGACTGTCTAGGTCGAGATTTAGCTACTTCCCCGTGTCGCCCCCCTCCGGTGCATGCCCCGCAAATAAACAAAAGTCGTTAATTACGCATCCCATTCAGCATTCAGCGTTGAGATTCTGATTTCGAGAGTCTCTAACTTCGCGCGGTAAAATCATTCTTGCTGATAAAACTGCTGCTAGCGTCGCTGCTTCAGTTTACATTCCAAAGTGCGCTGCAATTCTCTCAATCTTTCTCACAGTTCCTCTCTCTGTCTCCCCGCACTTTCGTACAGTGAGAAAAAATGTTTAGTGATGTTAATTTGAAAAGAATTCTAGGGATAGTGGCAAAACCCATACGAATTCCCCATTTTGTAGTAGTCGAAAAGGCTTAGAATTCACAGCTTGCCTCCATTTTAAAACAAGAAAGGAAAGTAATTTCCTGTTTCCGGTTTATATACCCTTGCAGTTTGCCTTTGAATAATAGGATTGAATCGGAAATGGATAACATGAGATATGTAATGAAATATTCATATCACAATTTTAACGACTAATCAAAGACTTAAAATCGCATAACTTAGCCAAATATGCATTAATTTTCATTTCGAAATCGTTCCTATGTTAGTTTTTAGTAGGTTTATAAATCTGCATACTCAATTTAAAATTGTAGAAAATTCAAAATTTTGCAAATTTTTGACAATTTTAACGATGTAACCCCTTATACAATTTTTAAAAATTTAAAAAAATTGTATTTCCTCCCGAGATGGCTAGATCGATTCATCTGTTAATGCTGATCAAGAATATATATGATTTATAGGGTCGGAAATGACTCCTTCACTGCATTGCAAGCTCAGAACTAATAATACCCTGAAAGGGTATAAAAACGCGGCTTCCCCAAGTGCAGTTGAAGAAGATATCAGATAAAGAATTTGCTGCTGCACATTCTCTCATATTTACTTTGACTTGGGGACTTATCAAATTTGTGTTTAGCTTCCAACTGCGACGCAGAATTCTCCCGGCAGAGAAGAAATCTCCCGGGCTTTGGGTCTGCATCGGGATCAGAATTGGGACTGGTAGGCATTGCGCGGCAGATAAGTTTCGGCAAGGCTTTGTAGTCTGGAGTCGGGCAAGGCGACGACAGAAGCCGGCGTTTATTTATGATAGTTGTTTGCTACTGCAAATCCAGTTGAAACCGCTGCAGAGAAGTAAAGTGTGCTGCCCCAGACTTGAGTCAGGTTTATGTAGTAGTATTTCCTCTGGTTTACAAGAGAAAAATAAATACAACTGACTAAAAGAGATGACTCCGTAGTGTGGCTTAAGCTTGGAACTGTTTACAAAATGAGTAATATTTGTTGTGTGACTAAATAATTAGGAGAAGGAGAAGGGGTTTTTTAATTATTAATCGAGCAATTAAATACCCATTTTTACTATCACAGAAGATTTACGAGTCCCGTGATCTTAGTCTCTTTCGATCGTTCCGATTTGCGAAATCGATGACGATGATCGCTCGCACGGATCCCTGATAGCCGCTGTAATCAGTGGCTCGTGCTTTTGTTTTGTCAACTCGTCAACCATGGTGGCCATGGCGGGTATGATGATGCAACAATAACAACTGATTGCAATGGAGCGTGATCCCCATCATCATCATCATTATTATTAGTAGAAGCAGCATCATCATTACTCCACTTCTCACGCACACGAGACGATGTCTCAAAGGCCATTTGATGGCCAGCAGGTGCAGGCAGAGATTGGTTCAATTTTAGAGAGGGAATATGAAGAGAAAGCACTGGTTTTATGCAGAATATGGTATAGTTATAGGCAGGATTTCTTGTTCCTAACGTGAACCATGGTTATGCCTTATAATTTCTTATCAAAAATGTATATTCAAGATATTTAAAATCCTTCGGGTTACATTAATAGAATCCCCCAAGAATGTAGGATAGGTATCCTTTTGCCATCTATGATATACTAGTAGTACTCACATAATACTTCACGATCCCGCATGCTGGGGTTCCTCAGAATGGTGGCCACCTTGGGTCGACTGTTGCTGGCCTTGTTGTGATTCAGATTTTGATGGTGTCCAGCACCACCACCATTCCTATTGGCCTTGAGCGTGTCCTGGTTGCAACTACCATTGCTGCCGTCTTTGGTGCTTTGTAGTTCCTCGACAATAGTATCGTCCTCAGAGAGAGCGGGTCGGCATTTAGATAGATGTATAGTATCCGAATTGATGGTGGCATCTGAAAAATTTAAAAATGCATTAGATATGGTACAATTTTAAGATGTAACAAAGCAAAGCAAACCCTACCGTCGTGTGGCAGGAAGGAGTCCCATTGGGACGAATCCCAGGGTTCCGAGAATATGGTCCCATCGTCGGATTGGGCTGAATCGATGCCGCTGAACGAGTTCTGGCAAAAGACATTGTCGTAGGACGAGAGTCGGCAGCCGTTCTGGCTTTGGAATGACTTCTGGCTGCCATCGCAGCCGAGTCCGATCTTCTCCTGACCGAGCAGAGCCAGCGGCTGAAGCGGAGCGATGCCCGTCGCTGTCGCTGATGCTGTCTGCAGGGGTGTAGAGCAACGAACGAGCTCTGGCAGATTGAGATCAGGCAGGCGCTTGGCTATAATCTGGTGGATAGTGAGCGTGCGCTTCTTGCCCTGCTCCCTGCTGTCCCTGCCCAGCGAGTTCTCCTTCTCCTGCCAGTCAATGGCCGCCGCATCATAATCACCGCCAGCACTGCTGCCGGTATCCTGCTTGGCCATAAACTCCCAGCTGCTGTCCAATTGCCAGTGATCAATGCGATTCCTTGCCCGCTTAGTGGGCTGTTGCTGCTGCTGCTGCTGCTGGTGCTGCGCCTGCGACTGCTGGTTGTTAGCCTTTGGCTTGGGCTTCAGCTCATCCAGGCTGCCGGCTAGCTTCTCCAGATCGCTTTGCTGCAGCAGGGGTCCGTTGCCGCTGCCCCCAAAGCCAGCTTTCAGTGGTTCCGAATGCCGCTGGCTGGCGTGCAGCATCTGGCTGCGATGCTGTCGCCGCAGAATGGCGGTGGCTGCGCTGGTCAGGCCTGCCTGACGCAATGCATCCGCCGGTTCCGCATAGAAGGGGCTGCCCTGTTTACTGCGACCGGCACCAGGAGTTTGTCCCTCGGCTGTGGGTGTAGTGTCACCGCCGTCATCTTCGGCCGCTGTAAGGGATTGAGTCATTGTGGCCGCTGGCGTCTGTCCATTGAGATTGGGCAGCAGCAGGCCGGCTCGGGAGCGAGGCTGGGCATCGCCGGAGAACTGTAGCAGCTGTTGGCTAGAGCTCTCGTGCGGGGATGTGGCTGCAGCTGCGGCTTCCTCCTCGCAGGGCGACAGGTGCGCTGACTGCTGTTGCGTTGGCGTGGGAGTGCTCGCTGTGTAGGAACAAAGGAAATGGTTAGGAAAAATACTTTCTGGAGGGATTTTACTCAAATATACGTACGTGTCTCTGCCAGCAGATCCGGCCTGCGGTTCATAACGCCTCCAACAGAGTCCAGGGCAGGGCGGAAGCTGGTCAGGAGGCTGGCCCGGTCGCTGGGATCGTGTGACCACACGTCCTCGTAGTCACTGATCTTGTCGCTTAGAGCACTTGCACAGTACTGCAGTGGCGGGCTCTCCAGGATGTCCGACTCCTTGTAGTGCTGCGACTCCTTGCCCGCTCGGGATTTTCGGGATTTACCACCGCCGGCGCTGCCACTGCTGCCGCTGGGCGTTAGAGGGGTCAACGGTGAGGCGAGCAGCTTCCGGTGCGGTTGCCAGCGACTGTCGTTAGAGGAGGAGCCCTGCGAGGATAGCGTGTCCTTGCACTCACCCTCTGGCGACAGGCGCTTGGCAAAGGTCTGGAAGGTGCTGGCCTGGCCGTTGAGCAGGGCATTGAATGGATTACTAGCCGCCGGCGTGGTTACCTCCACAAATTTTCCGCTGCCATTTCCCACTGCTGTCTGTCCACTCCCGGCGACTGGGGTTCCTCCTGCTCCTCCACCATTCTCCATGGAAAAGGTGACCGTTGTGGTGACTGTAAAGTTGCCATTTCCATTCCCATTTCCATTCTGATCCGGTGAGTGAGGCTTGGACCATCGCAGTGGCGGTGCTGGCGGCTTGAGATTCAATGTGTTTGGTGGCTTGGGTCGCTGTGGACGCACTTGATCCATTTCCGGCGTGGCCTGAATCACCTTGAAGGTGCTCAGCTGCTGCTGCTGCTGCTGGTCGACCACGCTTGGCGGACAGATGGCAGATGAAAGCATTGATCCCGATCCAGAGCCAGAGCTGGGAAGATAGTGTTGTCCCGGATTATCCACCGGCGACATGGTTAGTATAACCGAATCCACAGAGTTCGGACTCAACAGCTGCAAATGCTGGCCACCGCTGGTGGTGAACGAGCTCAGGCTGGAGTTGGTGGTATCCGAGGGTGTGCCTGCCTGGCTAAAGAAGCCTAGCAGCTGGCCACTGCCCGTGGGACTGAAGAGGCTGCTGCTATTGCCACCGCCGGGCAGCGGAGGAGCACTTCCTGTGGGTGGTGGCTTGGTCAGAGCATCGCTGAAGAAGGTGGCTGTACCCAGGCCACTGGTTTCGGTCAACGAGAGTGGGGATTTGGCATCCAACAAATGCTGATCCCGCGATAATGGAGCCACCGTGGGCGTCGGTGGTCCCAGGAGAGCAGGACTGCTGGCGTAGCTCCAGAACTCCTGGCCCAGCAGCGCCAGCGAGGAGAGTTTCTTCCGGTTGTTGGCCTCCCGCAGGACCCGTGGCAGCATTAGCTGGACGGGCAGCTCATCGCAGCACTGGGCATAGTGAGCGATCAGCGAGGGAATGGAGCCAAAGGTGAACCGTGAGCTTTCGAGGCTGAGAACATTGTCATGCGACTGGATGAGATAGTGTTCGATATAGGGACCCGTATCCTGGGGCAAACGCACCGAAACGGCCATGGTATTGGGCTGGCTGGAACCGCGTACTATAAAGGTCTGCAAGTAAAAGGATAAATTAGTGGATTTAATATTTAAAATATGAATTAATATACGAGCTCAGAGAGCAGCTTCTCTAGCCAGAAGAATATTTATAATGCTTCCTTAAGCTGTAGGTGTGTAGATGTATATTTTTTTGAAATGCAAAAGTTGTTATCTTTCCTAAGTATTTTTCTGTGGCCTGAGAGCTTCGTGTAAATCCTTAAGTGAGTCTTTTTCCTTTGACTGCGCGTTAAATGTTGCGTTCACAATTCGCCCATAAATTCCCACTTATGGATGATAAATCGTCCCTATTTTCCCGCCCCAGTCGACATTCCATTCTCCACAATGGCTTTTGCTCCTGCTACTGCTTCTCCTGCTCCTTATTTTCTCCTGGCTTTCCACTTCTTGTTGTCGGCAAAAACTTTGCAGACGCTGCGACAAATCGCGAGGAGGACTATGGCAAAGAACAAGGACCAAGGATCGAAGGAAAGGCGTTGCTGGCATCTTCAGACGCAGACCTGGTCAAGTGTGGCCGGTTTGCTAATCGCCAGTGAAAACTTTTCATAATGAGCATTGTCCTTAAAGTCATGGGGCCGGGAAAATTCATTTAAAATAACTTCAAAAGAAGTAATGGTTATAAATATTATTATTATTTCTATAAGAAATCCTTGGAATGCAATTTTATTATAATTTCCATTCCATAAGCTTTTCCCCAATCAATTTATGTAAAGTTCTTCAAGTTTCACTATACTTTCTCTGGCATTGTTGGGTTTGCCTTTCAATTTCAACCCCAGAGAGCGTGCAATTATATACAGGACAACACCCGCTCTTGGCTCTTTATGGATATATAATTCTTTTTCTCCTTCAGATTTCAATAAATGCCAAATGGTTGGAGAAGAGGCGATGGAGGATGTTGCACCCCGCGGCGTTGTTTATGATTTCTGTGCGAGTTGCGAACAATTTTTCAATAAGCAGAAAGATGGTAAGGGTAACCCCATTCAAAATCGGGTGGGTTTAAGGTTATTTCATTTCTTTTTTATCTTTCTTTAAAGCACACAAACAGAAAGCAAGCAGAGAGTCACACAAACATTTTATCCTGATTTAATAATGCGGTCACAAAGGGCGGCCACCACCAGCAGCAGCAGCAGAAATTGACCATCAAGGAAATGCAATTTATACAAGGCCAAAAAAGGGGAAAAGGACATAGAACTCCCTCTTTCAACAGACAAAAACGAGCTTAAAAATGCCTTAACAAGCGAAAATGGGATATAGCAGGAGAAAACTCAATAAAAATCAGAGACGACCCAGGCAAGGCAAGGATAATGCACAAAAGGTCTGCAGTCTCAAGTAAGGTAAGACATTACGGTATGACTGAAGGACGAATATATCAAAAATAATATTTAAAAATATATTTTGGCATATATTTCAACAATCTATATAACATTTCAAAGAATTCAATAGTTAAAAGTTACTTAATCAAGGTAAAAATTTTGGAGTAATCAAGTTTCTGAAGCAACAATTATATAAAATCCGTATAAATATTTAAATACACATATAGCCATGCAACGCACTGTCCTGTCCTGTCGTGTGTGTGCCCTGCCTCAGACTTAGAGCCTGCATTTTATTGGCTTGAATTGACAAATTTCATTTGGTTCGTGAACAATAAAAAGGCGTAACAGCCTTTTGCAATTGACGACATATCAGTTACATATATGCGTCTGCATAAAATTTAATTTCCTAATGCATATATATATATATATATAATATATATATAAATATATAAATATATATATAAATATATAAATATATATATAAATATATAAATATATATATAAATATATAAATATATATATAAATATATAAATATATATATAAATATATAAATATATATATAAATATATAAATATATATATAAATATATAAATATATATAAATATATAAATATATATATAAATATATAAATATATATATAAATATATAAATAAATATATATAAATATATATATAAATATAAATATATATATAGACAAAAGCCAGACGACGACAGGTGGATGTGCCGGTAAGTAGGAGGTATGCATATGTGTGTACTTTTGTGCCACCTTTTTGCGGAGCACATCCACCTGCCACAATGGCTCTTCGCCTGCCATTTCCATTTTCATAACCACTCCATTTCCATTTCTACTTTCAGAGCCACACTTGCAGTCCCATTTACATAGCCATCACAACCATATGGCCATTTGTAGGCTTTTAGGCATCCGTCTGGCGCAATGAGGAAGGCCTAGAAATGCATTTCATCACTCTGGTGCAGTTCGTTGACTCAAAAAATGCTGTAAAAACTGAAAAACCCTAGCTCATTCTAAGATATTCCCTACATAAATCCTTCCAAAAGAAAAATAATAAAATATTTTACGAAATCTCTTTAAAACGTGTTATTATTGTATTACTAATTAGATTAAAAGGCGATCTGTTCCCGCCATGCAGGGTCTAAACAGTTAAATTCATTAACCGCCAACTTTGAATTCAAATTCATTAACCGCCAATTTTTGAATTCAAATTTAAAACGGCAAAAAAATTTCCGCCATGTCGGTTCATCTGAGTTGCTTACAACAACCACCTAATTACAACAACAACTAATATAAGACCGTATCGCAACAACAACAACAACTCCCGCATCCCAAATCGCCAAAATCGTTAAGCAAATTGCTTGTTTTCTGATCTGGGGTAACAGGCGAACAGAAAGCAGCAGAAGGTGGCTGGGATTTCTCAGAAACTGTTATAAAAACCCCGAGTTTCAAACCATTCCAAGATCTCGGTATAACAGTTAGCCCAGACTCAAACCAAACTATCGGAATTTATCGATTATTCAGCATTTCAATATGGCGATCAATCAGCTGACATGGTGCCTTCTAAAGCAGCGACGACCAGCTGACATGGAGCCTTCTAAAGCAGCGACGATCAGCTGATCAGGCATGTGCAGCGTGGAGGTGTGACCATATTATTTATCACGACCTTTTTGTAGTGTGACCAGCTACTGTTCAATACTTTAATACCAAAAAAATTTAAATTAACCGCCAAATTGGAATTTGAATTTCTCCGTCGCGCTCTGCTGCTGCTGCAGGGAACAGACAATTTGTTGGAGATTTTCGGGATATTGGATGGGACAATTTTTGTTGTTGTACAGATGTTGTCATATAGAAATTGTTGTTGTAACAATATGGTGTTGCAAGCAACTAAAATTCGAATTCGAAGTCGATTTCAAATTTGGCGGCTAATGAATTCAACTTTGTAGACCCTGTTTGGCGGAAAATTTTCACCGTTTTTAAATTTGAATTTCAATTTGGCGGTTAAACTTTTTAAAGCTTATATGGCAGATTTTACGGCTTTTTTAAATTTGAATTTAAATTTGGGGCTTATTCGAATTTGGAAGTTTATCCACCCTTGCAGTTGAAATCTTATTTGACAAATCAAAGTTTAAAAACATCATAACTTTGCCAAAAATGCATTAATTTTAATTCGGAAAACGTTTCTATGTTAGTTTTTAGTACCTTTATAAATTTGCATACTCAATTTAAAAATTTTGGAAAATTTAACTTTGTAGAGTATATATGGCGGATTTTTTGGCTTTTTTAAATTTGAATTAAATTTTGGCGGTTAATGAGATCAGTTTTTAAAGCCACATATGGCGGAAATGTTTTTAGTAATCAGAAGTTTTTCCACCCTTGCAGTTGAAATCTTATTTGACAAATCAAAATTTAAAAACATCATAACTTTGCCAAAAATGCATTAATTTCAATTCGGAAAACGTTTCTATGTTAGTTTTTAGTACCTTTATAAATCTGCTTACTCAATTAGAAAATTCAAATTTTACGATGTAACCCCTTTTTTTTTATTAAAAAAATTGAAAATTTCTGAAAAATTTGTTTTTTTGCCGGAGATAGCCTGATGATTCTGATCAAGAATATATATGATTTAAAGAGTCGGAAATGACTCCTTAGCTATATTACGAGCTTGTGAAATAAAACATAGAACCCTGCAAGAGTATAACAACATTTCGAAATTTATCAAATAGAACATTTAATTTATAGATTTTAAGCAATTACTGACCATGTTTAGATAGCTTTACCAATGATTTTTTATTAATTATAGTTCCTATGAAGAATTTTCCAGAAAAAAATACATATATATATATTTCCTTAAGTTTTAATTACCAGGATTCACTGATACAGGGTCAGGAAAAATGGAAAGAGAAATAAGTGCATTTGGTGTGGACACTTACTTGCATTTCACTTGCACTTTTCCATTCATTTCCACACCAGACTGATGAATGCGGTTTGCATTTCGATTTGTTCTGCCAACCGCAAGGGGCGAACAGGACACGACAGGACATTCGACAGTCAACGGTTTAATTTCCGTATTTGTAGCCTGCCTTTCCTTGCCTTGCCTTTTGCCAGGATTTTCAATTACACACGCATTTTGTGGACACTGGGACCCCAGATAATATCGTAAATTTAAACGTTTATATGGCTTTGACAGACACAACTGGTAAATGGTTATTAAATTATGTTTTCTTTTTTTTCAAGAAGAAAGCATATGACAAAATTTTGAAATACATTTCGGTCTTAGATAGAATTTTTAATAATTTATATTCAGAAAAGGAGCTAAATTTTTAAAAGTAATTGACAGAAGTAGACATTTTAGTTGAATTTTGTATTAATTTTGTACCAACTTTTAATGAAAATAGTTGTTCATTGTAATTTATTTCCTTTTCATATTGTTATTTTTATATTATTATTTATTATTTTTATTTTATTTTTAAGCATTTATTTATTATATATTTATTTTAAAAGTATACATCCCAACTCTCTTCTTCTGCTTTCAAGGACTTCTGCCCATCTCTAAAAGCACATCCTTTTTGAAATATCCTGCTCTGGTCTTCTCCATTTCACTTTCCCTTTACTCCAACTCCTTTGACACATTCTCTGCCACCCGGTAATCATTTATCTCTTTGCATTTATTTTG